TAGAAAGGGGCAGAGGAAACGATTGGTGATGATGGATATGTCCACTATTGTAATTGTGGTGCTGGTGTCAAGAGTATATGCATATGTCAAAATGTATCACATTGTACAGATATGTAAAGTTTATTGTATGTCAGTGACACCTCAACAAAACTTTTAAAATAAGCTTGAAATGACTGGAAAAAAAAGTTTCTAGCAGCCACATTATTTCCTAAAGAAATAACTGAATGAAGATATTTCAAGGGGGTGGGGAGTTGCTACCTAGGATAGAAGAAGTGATAGTTTTAGCATTACTGTCTTTAAATGCTTTTTTTTTTTTTTTTTGTGGCCCGCGGGCCTCTCACTGTTGTGGCCTCTCCCGTTGTGGAGCACAGGCTCCGGACGCGCAGGCTCAGCGGCCATGGTCACGGGCCCGGCCGCTCTGCGGCATGTGGGATCTTTCCGGACCGGGGCACGAACCCGTGTCCCCTGCATCGGCAGGCGGACTCTCAACCACTGCGCCACCAGGGAAGCCCTATTCTGTCTTTAACAGTGTTAAGTTGTGCTTACCCCATTAACTAAGAGTAAGAAGAAGCAGGTAGAACTCAAATAGGATTATACTTTGCTTTATGAAAACTTGATAGTCCTCTTCCCAAAATTGTCCTAATTTATATTTAGAAGGAAGAAATGATAGAAGACAATTTTTTGCAGAAAATAAAAGCATTCCTTTTTTATGTTTTTTCCTACCAATCTGGAGATACTGAGGAAACTAATAATACATAATTATGGGGTAATTTTTAATCCATGAACATTTAATAGTGTTCCACGGAGCTAAATGCAGTGGTTCTAATACTGATATACTACCCTGCAACTGTGCATAAATGTTGCATATTTTATAAATACTCAATGACATAGTGCAAAAGAACAGACACATGTATCCCTGCCCCTCACCATTTCAGGACCAGAGGGAAAGAGAAAATGAATCAAGTGAGATAGCTGTTTTGGAAAACAGAAGTATGACAGGCCTGTAAGCTGGAAATTATGGGGTATTTTAAGTAACCCATGAGAAATAATGACAATTTTTTAAATAGCCAACTAAAACCTAGCAAAATCTGAGGGTAAATTTGCACCCTGGGTAGCAGCATATTGCCACCTGTAAGCTGCCTTAATCGTGGGGCTCATTTGCTTAAGATGTTAGGAATGCTGACTCAGCACAGCAATTTCTTAAAAATTCATTCTTCTTTAGATGTCATTTTGGAAAAATTAAAGCTAGTCCTTTCTTAAACAATTTGCCATTTTCTCTAATAGCGAAGGCGGCAGCAAAGGTTTAACAGTTCAGTCACAAATGTATGTTCTTACAATTATGTATTAAAGTCAGGTTTAACAGAATGATTCATGTGATATATATTTTAGATGTATCAATTTCACAAAAGATATTCAATTAAAACTTAGAGAATCTAATCCTAGTTTGATAAGCACTATTTCTAAATGACTGGGAAGCTTTTTGGAAATAAAAAGAAAAAAAAAAAACCCCAAACATTTTAATCCTAGCTCCAATGACATTTTTTCCATCTCTCCTCCAAAAGAATATTTCTAGAGCACAAAACAGATTCATAATTGTTTAATTAGATACATTTTATATATCCTGAACATAACGGTTCCCATAGAAATAAATATTTTGTACACAAACTTTATTTACTTTGCCACAGTCATAATATACCAACTCAGTCAAGTGCAAACATTTATTACAACCCCTGGTGTGTGAGGAGCTCTGCTCCCACACTTCATTATCTGGATGACAGAGAACAAGATTAGACAAAATGGATAATCCACAAGGTACTAACAAAATGTACATTCGATTATGATTAAAAACCCTTCTCCAGCCAAGGCTGTAATCAGAACTAAGCAAAACAGTCGGATCAGTTTCCTCTTTAACTCCGCCCTCCAGTGCTCCTTGGGGGCAGGACCTAAGGTAATGATTGATTAGTGGAATCGCTAAAAGTCCTGGGGCTAGAATGAGGAAGAGCAGCAAAAGGTTTAGAAAATCGACAACGTGGCATCCTTTGTATGAAAAACTCCTTGGTTTCTCTTACCAAGATACATTTGGTAGTTTTTATGTCACATATAATTGATGTGTAATATTAAAAGGTATCTCAAATGAGGTTTATTTTTACGACTGCCTGGAATTTAAAGTAACCCATGAAAAATAATGACTTAATTAAACAACCCAATAAAATAACAGTAAAATCTGAGAGTAAATTTGCACCCTGGGTAGCAAAATAATTAGTTTCAGGTCGGCCTCTATGCATGCTGGTGTGTGCCATCGATCTGTTCTGCCTAGCCACATCCATAGGACCATCATCACTTACTGCTTTCCTTAATGACCAGCTCAAAAACATGAAGGAGCTTACAGTAAATCACAGGGGAGGTATAAAGATATATTAAGTCCACTTCTATCCTAGATTGCTTTAGGGGGGGAAAAAATTGCCCCTGAAATAAAAAGGTTTATATAAAATTCTAAGAAATAAGTCACGTTTTATCAAGAATGACCTAATCTATTCTATCCTTTTGCTCTTTAAACTAGTCTCAAAGCCCCCAAATTATGCAGATGAAAATTCCGAACAGAATAAGTGTCACAATTCTGTAACCATCAAATAAATAAAAAGTGAGAAAGAAATAGGGGATGGGACCATTACATTGGTATGAATGTTTGATGGGGAGATTTGTGAATCAGGTATTATAGGAGCGTTACCTAAAACTTAATTGCTCACTTGAACTGGAATTCTAATCCGGATATCAGAATCTCAAAATAAATTATAAATCTGGGACATTATAAAGAATGTGGTGATTTTAATTAATTTGACATTCTTCTCATTCTCATCTTGAAATCCTAGTCAGAGTTTCAGGTTAGCTCTGACCAACATTCACCTACCTGATTTGTATGTTTAACTTATTAGGTAGTAAAGGTCCATTCTACTAGTTATTCTCTTTCTTAATTAAAACTCACTGTGAGGTACAGTAGTTGCTTCCCTCCTGGGTCCTCTTCCAGCTGCCTGATTGATATTATCGTTGGTCACCTGGTGCCTTTCCTTCCTACTTGTGGTATCTTCCTATTTGTAGTATCTTTATTTGCAGAATTCTTTCCTTACCTTTAGGCTAAAATCTGGAGACTCTTCGGGGAAGTGCTAGTAAATACAGACAAGAAGCACTGTAAATAGTATCTAAAGTTTTACCAATCATGGGAGAACATACCTCTCTGAGGAAGTCAAAAAAATTCTAATTAAATTCTAATTAAAGTTAAAGGCATATATCTCAGGATGCAGATAAAAGAACGTCAAGATGAATGAGCAGAAAAAGAACTGATAATAAGGGAAATTTTACTACTATGGGGGAAGGCACCCAAGACTTAAAATAGGAATTAAAGACATTGAGACATCGAGGGAGGGTGTTGCTTACATGCTCAGAGCTAGTGATGGATTAGGAAGTTTGCTTGACAATGAAATTTCATTCTAAACCAGTGCATGCTGTACATGTAACGCATGGACTAAGATAAAAGGAGGAATGAGTTTCAGGATAACTGAAACTTGCTCCACCTAGTGGAGACTTCAGAGTTTTCCCTTATGCTCTCAGCAGTCTTGGTTTGATAGTGGCATAGCCATTGTTAGGAATGTTTTGAGTGGGAGAAACAACACTAAAATCAACACCTCATAACAAAATGTAAGAGGTTAGTAACCTTGTTATCAGAGCTTAAAATAACATGTAAAATCTGATGGTAAGAGTCTAAGAATAAAAACGTAACAGAATAAAATATACGTGATTTTGTAATTCTCTAGGAAAATCTCTAAAGAGATTTTTAAAAAAATATATAGGCATTTAAATAGTTATCTATGTGCAGAAACTCAGGAATACTAATGCAAGTTACTACAAAAGCCTCTATATATTAGTGGAGGAAAAAACAAATCCTGAAGTACTCAAAACACATTTCTGTCCCTCACCTCCCCCCATTTTTGTTGGGATGGATAAATTCCTTAGCTTAAGTTTTATATCTCTGCCAATAACAGCAAGGTAAATGTTTAATATGTGGTCATATATCATAAACACTTGATGAGAATATGAAATATGAATTTCCATAGAACTCATTTAAACATTGCAAATAAGCTTCTAGTGGTCTCACTTCTGTTCCTAGTGGTATTCCAACAGTGCCAATGGGTTGGGCACAGGACACATGTGGGTTACACTGTGTTTCACTCAAAATGAGTTATGTTTACAGTACTCCTAAGCCCACAAACAAATTCCATATGCTTTTTGTTATTTCCTTCCAAAGTTTTAACACTGATGCCGAGTGTTCAAATCAAATACGGATATTGCCAAGTAACAGGGCACACTGGGAGGTTAGGTGGAAGAGGGATGGTTTATTAACTGTACGCAGGACAGGAAACTGACGAGCAACTGAATACAGAGATCTACTTAGCACACCTCTTCCTTCTTGCCCTTCAGACATATGATACAGTAACCAATATATCAAAGTAAAGCACATGTTGTTTACTTTTTTCAATCCATTTGAGTTAGTCTCATAATTCTTCTGATCCCAGAAACTGAATCATGCCATGATTCAAAAGATCTGCCCTTCACATAAACCTAGGAGCACACATTTAAAAAATGATTTATTGTACATCTTTGCATTTCTTAAGGCATGAACAATGGCGTACAGATGGAACAGGTTCTGAGAAGCATCACGACGTCAAAAAAGCGTCGTCTTTTTTGACAAGGCCAGCACAAGTACACCACATCAAACAGACACACTCGACATCTGAGCTGACTGCTGTGGCCCAGGAGCTCCTGCGATGAGGGGGTGGCGCTTCCAGAAAAGGACCAAATGCGTGGTTCATATGTCATGTTGCTTTAAACTCTCTGGATCAGCTTTAAGCACCAGTTACAGTTTGTTTTTCTTTATAGACTCTTCAGACCTCAGATTTTATATTCTGCTCCTTTTATGCTTTTCAAGGAGGGTGTGGATGTTTTTTAAGGAATATGGTTGCAGCAAAACAGAAAGGATCTGAAAGTGGTTAGGGGCCTTGTCTAATGCACTTCTGAAAGTCTATTATAAAGATGAATAGAAAAGCAAATGGTCAGTTTTCAGTCGACCCAGAAACCACGCGGAGCTCTAAGAAACATAATTGTGCATAGTTATTTATTCATTCAGAACGTGTTATGTTGGCTAGCTCTATATTCCCAGTTTACCAAAGAACAGGGCTGTCTACTTTGCTAAAACCAGGGTCCTTTCGCAGCTCCCAGTAGGTGTCGTTAGAAACCCAGGCTTCTCTTTGATTGGCATCAATCACTTTTCTGTGAAAGTACAAAAATCAACATTAGACACAAATCTCATTCAAGTGACCTGATAATAGGACCCTCTCCTGTAGATAAGACGTGTACATATAAGCAGTACTTGGTAAGCCAGTGAGCATCCTATCTGCTGATTGATGATTTGACTATTTTGACTAGAAATAAACTCACTTTTGTTGTGAAATGTTTGAAATGGAAGTGGGTAGGGTCATGGGGAGAGGGGCTAAGAGCGGGAATAAATCACCTCAAGGCAGGACTAGAAAGTGAAGTGGCCCAAACAGGGACTTCCCTGGTGGTCCAGTGATTAAGACTCCATGTTTCCAATGCAGAGGGTGCAGGTTCAATCTCTGGTTGGGGAAACAAAGATCCTACATGCTGTGCAGCATGGCCAAAAAAAAAAAAAAAAAAAAGTGAAGTGGCCCAGACAAAGCATGTACAAACCTTGTAACTAGAACTTCAGACCCCAGACCCACAAGAATTTTCTCTGCTTCACTTGCGGGGAAACTATGCAACCTCATTAGCTGTAAGAGCCTTCTCAGGGTCCACGCCCAATGAGGGCACTTTCAACATCTAAAGGGCAAGACTGCATTTCTGCTCCAGCGCAGCCAGGAGATGCAACTAGAAAGGGTATGAGGTTATTCTGAGCAGCTCTGTCCTGGCTCTGAAGGGAAACAGATGGATCTGGAAACTACAGCTTAGTCTGTGATGTATTCTGCAAATAATCCTGTAATAATCACCCACGATCACACCACAGAAGGATCAAATCTGAATGGATATAAGCTCCATGTGATAGAAATAAAATGAAATATTAAGGAAGCCAGGATGACCTTGTGGGCAGTGGGGTCCCACCTTATCTCTGGGTGAGGGAGTGGGAACAAATTTCTACCATTCGAAAGGGGGTAGGAGGACAAAGAACCTCTGGGCAAGACCCTCACTCTCTATTGCTGTCCATGAAAGGAAAAGAGATGTCGAGGAAAATTTATTTTTATGATTACAAACTTTTTTTTTTTTCCTGCGGTACGCGGGTCTCTCACTGTTGTGGCCTCTCCCGTTGCGGAGCACAGGCTCCGGAGGCGCAGGCTCAGCGGCCATGGCTCACGGGCCCAGCCGCTCCGCGGCATGTGGGATCTTCCCGGACCGGGGCACGAACCCGTGTCCCCTGCATCAGCAGGCGGACTCTCAACCACTGCGCCACCAGGGAAGCCCTACAAACTTTTCACAAGACCAAAATCTGATTCAGTATTTTCACTGGCAAAACCAGTGATGAAAATCAGTTTAATTTTCCACCTCGAAGTTTTCTGGACATAAAACTATCCCTCATTTTCTTTTTACCTGGAGTCTTTCATTGCTTGTGGCAACCATTTGCAAAACATGAAAACTGACTTACTTAAAAAATTTTGGTATATGTTCAAGGTTGTTTTCTTCCATGTATCGTCTTCGAGATCTCTGGAGTTCCTCTACTCTTTGCTTCTCTGCTGCTGCAGCTTCTAAATTCCCTTCTTCCAAAAATCTAAGCAGAAAGCAGTTTATCTTTTAATACATTACCTTCTTCTCTGAGAACAAAATAATCTCATTTGCATAAACTTAAATTCTGGTTGCTGTGAACATAACACAGTGAACAGTAATGCTCTGATTACGTCCCTTCGCCCCTTCCCCAGGCCACACTCTCTCTGTCTGCCACCAGCTAACATACTTTCTGTGTATGGGAACTGAATTATTGAATTCAGCAATAAAATGGGAGGAGTGAAAAGTAAGTGGTTGGCTTTGAAGACTTTTCTTTGCTGTCTAGGGTTCCACAACTTGAGATTTTCAGGTTGGCTAGAGTGTCTGGGGTTAGGACATCATGAAGTCCCTGGCTGTGCTCCTTTTCCATGTTATCACAAAGCACTTGTTAAAGGCCACAACATGGAGGATGGTACCTGACTGTTCTTCAGCTACTTTTAGAACAGATTGAGAGGGAAGGAGTTTTCCTGTTTTATTGCAGAGAGTAAAACTGATGAAAAAGGATAAGGTAACAGTTGGGGGAAATTACAAAAGGCCACAGAAAGGAAATGAACAGTAAATGAAATTCAGAAAGGGAATACTGAAATAGAATTGAGAAAAGCAGCCCCAATGGTGATTTGCAAATATTTAAATTCCAAAATGAGAGCAAAGAACAGGTATACAGTATGATACACACTGTACAGGAAGCTTACTGATAAGTTTGAATGTCAAATAGTGAGACTGCATGTTCTAGAGAAAGAGGGGGGAATATGAGGGAACTAAATAGTACAACATTCAATACTGGGAAGATTTTGGCGGAAGACAGATAAAGCCACAAAGACACTGGGAACAGAAAATGATCTTGGATGCAATTTGTATGACATGTAGAATTCTTGTAAGAAGTAAAACTAATTCTGTAGGAATGGACAACATGAGTACAGAACAATGTAAGAATAATTAAAAACAAAAAAAGAATCAGAAGGTATTAAAGGTACTGTATTTTGAGTATATCTCACACCCCAGGGGATCAAAAACATGTTGGGAAAACTCCACACTTTGACTCAAAGTATTTCTAGGTACCCCTGTATCTTATCCTCTTATTCTTCACAGAAATGGTTAAAGGGGATCAACTGTATGGTGATGGATAGAAACGAAATTTTTGGTATACACAGGTATACAGGAGTAGAAATATAATCTTGCATACATGAAAATTATATAATGTTACTGTACATGTAATGTTATAATTATATAATGTAACACCAATGTTACTTCAATAAAAAATTTAAAAAAATGATAGTCCATGTTATAGAGTAATAGAACTACAGAAGTACCAACACTGAGGTGAGGAGTGATTGTGTGAAGAGTTCAATAATTTGCAGACCTTTGGTAAATTGGTGGTGGGGGGGGCATTTTGTTAAAAAACGTCTGTGTTACCTTCTGCGGGGAACTTTTGTTGAGCTAATCTTCTATTATGATCATCCTCTGAATGCTCTTTACCTAGGTAGAAGACTCAGCTATTACTGAGTGAATAAGGAAATGAATGATTCAATGAATACATAAATGATGGTGGCCAAAGTCTTGATGACTTCTGTAAGCACCATGCCGTGACCCAGTGTTCATTTTAAATACCACTGCCCTGCTCACCTCTGATCTGGCCGGAATCGGGCATCTGTTGGTGGAAGGAGATCTTTTAGTACAGGATCTAACTCATTAAGCTCAATAGCGAACCTTGTGAAGCCATAGTAGAGCTCATAGTTGGTCGGCATGGAACCTGGAATGAGGCCAAGGAACCACTGTGAGAGGCAAAGAGGCTTACAGAACACGCAGAAGCTGAGTTAACTCGGGTGCTTAATTAATACTCACATTAACATCAAATTTATTGTCATAAACATCAGATTACAATTTTTTGTAAAGGATTAATGATTATTTGCACACTTAATTTAAGACACTGGGTAGGTAATCAGTATCTTCACCCTCCTCTCAAATAACTTGAAGATCACCACTTTCCAATGTAAAGCTATTCTTATTCCCTGACGAGTTAGATATTACTGTTAATTTTGCAGTCATTTTTATGTGGGATGATAAAGGTGCATCTTTTGGAAATTCATTTAGTGAGGATCTGTTCGTGGTAAATATTGTTTTCTTTCTCTATAAATGTTGATATTTAATCATAGTTTTGAAAGAGGCCTCTTATTTCTTGAAATATCAAGTGCTCTTATTTTCAGAGTGTGGTAAGTCTTACTCTGCCTGGGTTCCTTTTGTGTTTTGTGATTTTTGACTGTGAGCTCTTGTCCCTTGCATCTTCATCTGTGGGAATTCTTAAGGCCTGGGATCAAGTTGGTTTTTTTTTTTTGGCCGTGCTGCGTGCCATGAAGGATCTTAGTTCCCCAACCAGGGATAGAACCTGCTCCCCCTGCACTGAAAGTGCGGAGTCTTAACCACTGGACCTCCAGGGAAGTCCCCACAAATTTCTTAAGTGAATTAAATTGGTGTTATTTTGCTAAATGGGAAACTTTATGTTGATTAACAGAACTGATAGATTCATATATTTAATAAAATCCAGCTTTTAAAATAAAACTTTGTACATACAGTAGTCTTCACTGGCTAATTTTTCTCTCAAATACCCAACTGGGTAACTAAATGCTTGGGTGACTAACTATGAGCATTAAGATTTCACCAAAAAACACTTACAATTTACTTCCATTTAGAAAAGAAAAAGATTCAGATCTAAATTAATGTTTACTGGCACTTTCAAACTAAATTCGACAGCAGGATCTTTGTAGGCTCTGCTCATTAATGTGCTCCAAGCTCCTAGAACAAAGCCTGATGCTTAGTCAGTACTCAATACATAATTGCCAAATGAATGAACAAACCACTCTACTAGCAGGGAATTTAAATACTCATTGAGGAAACCAACAACTAATTTTAAAGTTAGGGATTAACTGACAAAATTCCAATGAAAATAAATGTCACGTGGAGCCTTGTTCCATTTGTACTCGACAGTCAATTATATGCTAGTGTATTACCAGAACTCTCTTGATGTCTTTTATTAAATGCCAGCATATTGCAGCTCTTTGATGCTCAAGTAAAAAGATCACTTATTCTGGTTAAATTATTGAATTTGTGGATTATGGATGTTTGCAGGCTTTCCTTTGCTTTACTAAAACAGAGAATAAATAACACGAGTAGGGATTTGAGTTTGTATATTTCAATTATTCAAATGGTTTAATAAGTATACCTAGCTTTTGAAATGCGATTATTACATTTAGAGAGATTTTACATGAAGCCCAATCTCTGACCACATGTCAGATTTGGTCTCAATTCTACAACTCCTTATTATCAAATATTGGAATTTAACTTGTGGATTGAGTATAAACGTAAATATTATTGCCTTAAGCATCTATGTTTTTAATCTATTAAAAGAAAACGTTTAAGGGGCTTCCCTGGTCGTGCAGTGGTTGAGAGTCAGCCTGCTGATGCAGGGGACACGGGTTCGTGCCCCGGTCCGGGAGGATCCCGCATGCCGCAGAGCAGCTGGGCCCGTGAGCCATGGCCGCTGAGCCTGCGCGTCCGGAGCCTGTGCTCCGCAACGGGAGAGGCCACAACAGTGAGAGGCCCGCGTACCGCAAAAAAAAAAAAAAAAAAAGAAAACATAAGGTGTACTGCATGGGATGATCTGACCTTCCCTCCCTTCTGCCACTCATGGCGCCCCCCTGAGGCAGGACACTCATGCCGGTCTCACCTGGTCTCCAGATGCACTTGGCGGAAGGGGCCACACCGCAGTACAGCCCTTCATGCCACTTCCCAAACAGCCGGTGCACCACCTTCCCTTCCTGATCCATCACAACCCCCTGGACTTCATTCACATTAGAATTCCAATAATTCACCTGGAGAAACCAAACTCCAGTTAAAACACTCAATCTCTTTAATAACACCAATCCCTGTAACTTCCACATGGAAAATTTTCTTAACCTTGAAGTTTCTCACGCAAACCATTTCCAGGCATCTATCTCAAAATGTTTTGCATGGAAGGGTGGCTATCTAAGTGTTAGCTGACTTAACTTTTAAGAAAGGGATGACCCCACTCCATGTTAGAGCATGCGAGCACAGCCCAGAGAAGCCTCAGTTTCTATCTTAACTGAATATTAATTTATAGGTTAAGCAACATCTTCCTCCCATTGTCCTGTCTTGAACTACCCTTGGCTCATGGATTTTAATGATTTTCAATTGGCAACACTGGAGAAATAGTTTGTAAAATCATTTTCATAGTAGCTGTAAATGACTAAATTTAATCAGGAACACCTTGTTCTAGCTCTCTTCCAGCCATGCTCCTCCCCAAGGGGTCAGAAGTCGGCAGGAATTTACCCATCTGGATCCCTTGGCCCCTATTCTAGATCAGGCCCCAAGTACGCAAGACCCTAGAATTCCTTGTCCAAATGGCTCTAAGCGGGACTTCCCTGGTGGCGCAGTGGTTAAGAATCCACCTGCCAATGCAGGGGACATGGGTTTGAGCCCTGGTCCGGGAAGACCCCACATGTCATGGAGCAACTACGTCTGTGTGCCATAACTACTGAGCCAGCGTTCTAGAGCCCGTGAGCCACAACTACTGAGCCCATGTGCCACAACTACTGAAGCCCACGCGCCTAGAGCCTGTGCTCCGCAACAAGAGAAGCCACCGCAATGAGAAGCCCGTGCACCGCAACGAAGGGTAGCCCCCTCTTGCCACAACTAGAGGAAGCCCGCATGCAGCAACGAAGACCCAACACAGCCAAAAGCAAAAAACCCACAAATGGCTCTAAGCTTATTCCACAGCCTGCACAGGCCTTTCCTTGGATTTATCGTTAGGCCTGAGGGGTGGCCAAGGGTGGCTGTTTGTGGGGGTGTGGACTGGACTGCCTACACACGTGTTTGCGGCCCCTTGCAGCGCAGGGCAGAGCTGGGGGTGGGAAGCAAGTGGGGAAGGCCGTGGGCCAGACTGGTTCTCCTGCGCTGCCAGGTTTCCAGCTTGGTGTTCCCAAGTGTCCAACCTGGACTTGCAGGTTTTGTCAAAAAACGTACTTTTGTCAGCGTGAAAGGATAGAAAATATTTTATTTGACATCTTGTGGGCTTGATTTACATACTTTAAATATTTACACATACGGTATGGGGACTGCCATTTGTACTCTTGTGCTGAGCTCTGCAAATGTTAGGGGCAGGCCTAAATCGAAGTTTCTCCTAGCCTAAAAAACTAAGTGCGCAGTTACTGTCACGCACGACCCAGTCAGCGCAAATGGTGATCCTGGCTCTTCAGTTCTGAGCCACTTAATCAGTCTATTAAGAAAAAAAGGAAAAAAGAAAAATATCTAACATCTTCTCTTATTAGTAAAGGTACTGATTTTTGTTGAACTTATTTAAGATTATATATAATAATGGCAGAGTTGGATAAGCTTATAGGGACTAGAAGCTATCATCTCTATGCATCTTCAGAAAATGACAAGTGCGACATATTTAGTTCCCTAAAATAAGATCACTTGAATATGTTGTAATCAAGCAGGAATATAAATAGAATATAAACCAGGAGACTTGTTATAGGCAAGAAGTACTCTCTGGAATTTTACTTAATGAACTGGCTGCTTAAAAAGAAAATTCTTTAAAAAGAATTTTTTTTCTCTTTGAAGATGGTGCCTTTGTTGACCTCTACACCGTCAGATGTCTGCATGCTTGGAGCAACTCCACCAGTTGGTTCTGCTTTCTTATCTAAAATGTCCGTAAGGATCAATGATACAGAACTAACTCACTTGCTGCTGCTTAAGGTAATTGTTTTATTTCTTCCCTAGGAAGCATTTTATGTCTTTCCTTTGCCATTGTAAGATTATTTACCTTGACAAATGTGAGTTTGCAAATGCAAACACTGCTTTTGGTATTTCTAATGGTTACTTCTCCGTAATGCTCTATCCATCTCCTCCCACTCAGGATGTTGTGTATGCACGTGGTGACCTTATTCCACACATAGCAATCTCCATACCTAGTGAAGAATACAGCACTGATTAAAAACAGTGAAGGTAACAAATAAATATTATTGTTTCTACCAATGAGAATATTTTTTAGCCATAGCTTCCTTTCCCCTCATCTTTCTCTTATTTCTTTCTTGGAAGTTTCTATGTGGTCAAGGCCATTTATGACATGATTCATTCATTCAAGGAACATTTCAGTGCTTTCTGTGGGCCAGGTGCTAAAGCTACCAAGTTGAATAGGATCTGTTTCCTGCTCTCCTGGAGCCAACAGTACGGTAGGGATAGATGGACGCTTATAAGAGCACAGAGGAGTGTCCTTAGATCTGCCTGGAACGTGGGGCGAGTGGCAAGAAGATTTTCTAGAAGAGGCTGGGTCTGGTCTAAGCTTGGAGGGTGGAGAGGAAGGTACTACAGGCTGGGAAAGGCAGAGACGAAGCCACAGAGGCCAGAAGGGCACAATGCATCCGGGGACCTGTGTGTGGCACACTTCAGGTGAGTGGGTGTGACGGGAGGTAAGGTTGGAAAGGTGGGACAGGGCAGAGCAGCCAAGGCCCTCAATGACCCACCAGTGAGTCTGGATTTACCCTACAGGCAATGGGAGGAGACAGTAGGGTGTATATTCAAGAAAGACTACTCTGAGGACATTGTTTCGTGCTGTGAGTTAAGGCCAAATATGTGAATAATTCTTTGGGAAAAGACTGATGAGCATAGATGGCATAAATGTAATACAAATTCTGGAGAGTAAGGTTACAGGGTTTCTGCCAAGGAAGGCGATGACAAGTTTCTACTCACCTTTAAATTTGCACATTACATATATGTTCAAATAAAACACTGTTTCAAAATGAAATGCTTCTGGCTTTCTAAAAAATTTATGAATTGGTATGATGTAGGCACTATGGAAAACTCTCTTCCTCATGAGTTTGTAAATACTGAAAGTTTATTTTGTGGCCCTGGAAATTCCTCCCTCTCCCCACCGTCTTCTATATTGAATCTACCAGCAAATTCTGTCATTCAAATAGACAATAACAAAACAGAACAAAAATCAACCAAATGAAGAAAGAAAGAAAAACAATCAAGCCTTTGGCCTCAATGAAAACTTCAATTAATTTTAAGATGTATAGGCTATATCCTCTAGAAAACAACCATAAAAGGATTCTATCACTTCCTTAATGAGCTAAACATTAAAAATAGTGCCTGGATCTAAGATGAACTCAAAAGTGAAAGTATAGATTATGTAAAAAAGAAATGGCTAAAAAGAGCCATTTTAGTTTGCATTTTATTTTCATATAAAATGCAAACTAATGTGGTGACTGGGACAGGTTGGCGCTGACTGATGAATGCAGGATGTGAAGAGATAAAAAGGAAGCTTCGACACATTTGCTAAAGTTCTCGTTAGCTTTTGTTGGGGCCCAGTCTCAAAACTTCGGTGAAGTTAACAGAAACATTGGCCATACAGGGAAATGGCCCCTTGGCACCTTCTAGAGTTTCAAATACCCATTTGTGATTTAAAAAAGCAGATAAGAGACCAAAAGGAAGATGAGCGCAACCTACTTTGGAAGCATGGCGTTCAGGGTTCCCACAGGCAGGATTTCCATCGACTTCCCCCAGAACTTGTTTTTCCATCTGATATCTAAACAACATAAGGCAGAGGACAAGAAATATACATATCTAATCACTTACTCTAGAAAAATGAACTTTTGTATTACACTTTATATTTTACAAAGGAAACTTGTAATCCCAACTGATTCTATAGTGTTGCTTTAATAAGACAAGGGCCTGAAGATGGCCCAAGGTGAGAATATTAACTGTGAAATCGCCCCTGCAAATATCTATGTATATTTTTCCGTAATATATGCTCTATATGTGTTTTCAACAAATAAAACTGGTAAAGTCTTGGAAAAACCTGTGTGTGTATGTGTGCATATTCACATACACACATACATAGACTCTACTCTGCGTTAACGTCTCCACAAATGTTGTTTTAAGTTTTAACTAAATGGTGGAAATATTTTATATATATATTTGTATATATGTGTGTATGTGTATGTGTGTGTGTGTATGATGTATAGAAAAAGTAATTGCGGATTGTGGTATGGCAGTACGACTGAGTTATATACATATTTAAAGAGTTAACATGACTTGGGAGAACATAATGGGAAAAAATAATGCCTCTAAACACACATAGGTAGGATTTATGAGAAAGTGGGATTAACTTAATGAACATGTTCCTGTGCTGGCTGTTAAGATACCACCCAGGGCCCAGCACTTCATCTCACATGATGGCTTTATGTTTTACCTGCGGTCACTCAGGTGTATCTGTGTATTTGTAATAACTGCCCGGTCTCATTCTGATGAAATAAGGGAGCTTAGTGCTATCTCCACAAAATTTCTGACTCTTTGTTACGAATAAGAAATGATTTACTTTCTTAATCTGAAATACAGTCACAGTGCTGCTCTATCATTCTGTATCCTTTTTAGGTTGAGGAACTACATATGAGAATAGTCATACTGCGATCAGTGAAATACCCTTTGGACCTCCCCTGAATGTGAGGGAACTATTCACACTTAATGGTAAATTTACATATATATTTTTTTCTTTCTAGAGGGGTTTTGAAACTTTTTATTCTAGGCAAGTTTGCAACATTCTAATCGAACAATGGGTATTGATTTAGTAGAGACTTCAATCCAAACCCCCAAGCCTCAGTGAGTTAAAGACCAGAAATCACTGCAATGTATATATACCTAATAGACTGTGACCATATACGACGTGTTCTAGAGCCTTCTTTGAGGATTAAGATCTCTTTGCACACCCTCAAGAAGCAAGAAGCCAGCAGATACAACCTCCATGCTAAAGATGCAGACAATGAGTTGAATGAGGTAAATAGCCCTGAGCTGGCATAGTCAGCATAGAGCTCTGCTGTCCCATAGGGTTTTGCTTCCTAAATAAATAACCCCATCTCCTAGATAACATGGTTCCATCTTTAAATCAAGAAATCTAATTTCTCAAACTGAACTCCACACCAACTACCAATATTCTCTGAGTTCTAAAAGTAGAAATCTAAACTGAGTACTCTGGAAACTAGAAACTTTCTCATAGGCTCATCAATTGGATTTTGAAGTGATAACTGAAATACAAACCTTGCCAAAACACAAAATTCTTCGATTCACAGTGACAGGCAGAAATGGGTGGATGATGGCTAACCTGGGAATTAAAAACAAAAAATGACATCAGTGTTAAAACTTCCATAAATGATAATTTTTTACAACGTATATTGGCTACCCCCAAATAAAAACTACTCAACTCATCCATCTCTATTAGTGAATTATTCTCAAAATGTATAAGTAAATTACTGAATCTTTAACTTTTACAACTGCATGCTTAAACACATTTAGAGGTTGTAGTTATATAGATAGGCTAAGTGAATTTTCTGTTAACTAGTATTATAACCCACCTCAATCAGATGTTTATCAAAAAGCTATTTTCATCATCAAACAGCACTCCTACAGTTTCTATACAGAAACTCACTGAGTCCAGTGGGACTTACCTGTTCTGAGAAAAAACGGAATCCTTTGTCCTCTCTAATGCATTCATAAGTCTCCCCAAGGACAGGGTTGAATGGCTTACTTCCTGCTCTGAAATAGGTGGAGCAATATCCTGAAACTGCAAATGCAGCAATAAGAACCTGTTAAAACATTTAAGAAAGGAAAATAATATAGGAGAGACTACTTCCAGGTCTGTTTGTCTCTTATTCCTCTAGATTTTATACACCCCCATCAGTGGGTGCTCATTTGATGGCATCTGCATTTTCTATTTTTTGCACAGACTCTTCATATACTCAAAGGGAAAAAAAGATAATTGAAAATGAGGTTAAACTCTCTGCATGGGAACAAGCAGACAACTGAAGCCAAATATTCTTCATTCATCTGTCTGTCCAACTTCCTGAGTATCACAGAGTTCAAAGGTTCTGCAAGCCAGTGTATAGGTTATGCCATTTGCACAATCTTAGCAGGAGGGTTGTGGCTGGTGGTGCTTTTCAGAGGGCAGGTCAAGTTTTCCACAATCACATGGAGTAGAGGCCAGGGCAAAGAACAAACAGGAGGTTACTTTCTCAGACCTAAGTTCCTGAACAAATGGGCTCCCCTGGCATTCAGGAAAAGCTGAAAAAGCAAGGCTAGGCATGTCTTAAACCTGTGAGGAGGGTGATACCTTTTCATTCTAACTTCAGAACCACCCAGAACCAAGAATAAGTCACGAAGTGTGTATCTTTCAGTAGAGGTAGCTGGATCTTTTTGGCCCTGCCTGGTTTATGCAAATGGATTCCTCTTACCTACGCGGTGAGAGTATTAGGCAACAACCAAATATGCTATCATAATGAATTCTGCCTTAGCCCAGGTCTAGGGTTGGCAAATCTCCAAAGGGCGCTGCTCTGTTATTTATTTATTACCATGCGCTCATAGGGACTGTCCGTTTCCGAAGCCTTGTCCAGAAGCTCACTATACTCCATTTCCTCGCAGAGATGCTGCAGAGTGTTGAGTGGCTCGTTTAGCTCCACAGGCATGGAGACTTTAGACAGGTCTTTACCAATGTTGTTCCTCAAGATATTCCATAGGTTAATGTTACTGGTGTCGGGACAGGGAGCTGGCAGGCGTGCTCGACGTCCGTTTCGGAAGGCTCCTCCTGTAAGCTCCCCGTTCAAGACTGGAAGAGGGAGAAAGAGGAGAATCACAGTGAAAGAGATCTTGCTTTTCTTATTTCCCAGAACTTGGGAAGGTAGGAACCCTTTCAAATAATTCTGATTGTGATACATTTCTTAAGCCTTCATTATACTCTCTCAAGAGGGAAGAGAATTATCTCAATACAAGGTTGCTGATAAATGCACAAAACATCAACGTACAGTTTTTTAAACAAAGTGTTAAATATACTTAAGTATTACACAATAAAAGACAAGTCAAACTTCTAAAAATTAAATATATTTAATATGAAGGACACAAAATTTTGGTTTGCCCAAGAACTAAACTTTTTCTTTTTTTTTTCTGTATGTCTTTTATTATTATTAATTTTTGAATTTTATTTTATTTATTCTTTTATACAGCAGGTTCTTATTAGTCATCCATTTTATACACATCAGTGTATAAATGTCAAACCCAATCTCCCAATTCATCACACCCCCACCCCCACCCCCCGCCACTTTCCCCCCTTGGTGTCCATACATTTGTTCTCTATATCTGTGTCTCAACTTCTGCCCTGCAAACCGGTTCATCTGTACCATTTTTCTAGGTTCCACATATATGCGTTAATATACAATATTTAAACTTTTTCTTTTAACCATCTACCTAACAAAATTTTCAACCATTTACCTCACCAGATTATATGAGTAAAAATTTATTGATCAGCTGCAAAAGGAAAAATTAGCTAGGGGGTCAAAATGATTGTTCATTGAATCATCAGCATTGTAACTTGGCATGTAGATAGAACCACCTGGAAGCTCAAAGGATGCATACTTTGCCGAGAAATGTTGTCTGCAACACTGGTGTTGTCTTCAGATATATTATCACTCACATCACTGATGTAAGACTCATCATCTGAAGCCTGAGAAAGGGAAGAACATAGAAAGGATCAGAATTCTCATTCAGTCTTGAAAGTTCAGAAAAATCAAACAATGAAAAACAACAGGATATTGCCCAAATGAGAAGCAGAGGTCACAGTGGGAACTGTATGTGGCATATGTGCAATGAACACCTGAGGGTGTCCCGTGAGCCAGAATGTAGGATTGCCAGAAAGCAGCCCTGTCTTTAAGTAGCTTTCTGTCTTAGTTGGGCTGAGACGCTGGGGGAGGCCAGTGCATAACCAGAAATGTTTCAATTCAACACAGTAAGAATGTGCAAAAAAAGGAGGCCCTACGGATCCCCCTAGAGGAGTCAGGAGAGGCTGCCCGGAGGAAGTAGAATTTGAACTGGATGTTGGAGGATGCAGGAGTTGACCAGTTGTTAGTAGGGGGAGAAGCACAAGAAGAAGGGATAGTGCGCAACGACAAGGACCACGAGAGAGACATTTATTCTAGGAGTGCCAAGAAGTCGAGTGGCTGTAACAGAGGACAGGGTGAACGAGATGAGGTCCGACTGTGAAGGGCTTTTCATGTCAACATAAAGGGTTCACAATATAATCATATGAGTTATTAAATGCAAGGAAATGACAGAGTCATATTTAATTCTCAGGAAGATACTCAGCAGCTTTCCCTAGGGAGACCAGACAATAGGATCCTACATAGATCTGGGTAAGAAATACTGACCAGTGACACTAAGATGGCCACAGTAAGGATCAAGTGGTAAAACTGCATTTGGGAACCACATCTGAAGTATACGGACAAAATCTGGCAGATTATCTGGGGGCAGCGGAGAACGATTTAGGGACAGGGAGAAATCGAGAATTAAGCCATTCTCTACGTGAGAGAAACATGGAACTAAAATGAAACCAAAATTCACATCAGAATAAAATTAAGGGGCAGGGACTTCCTTGGTGGTCCAGTGGTTAAGACTCCGTGCTCCCAATGCAGGCGGCCCGGGTCTGATCCCTGGTCAGGGAACTAAGATCCCACATACTGTAACTAAGCATGCGTACTGCAACTACTGAGCCCACGTGCTCTAGAGCCCGCGTGCTGCAACTAGAGAAGCCCGTGCACCACAACGAAGGCCCAGCACAGACAAAATAAATTAAAAAAAAAAAAAGAATAAAATTAAGGGGCAACATTTGTACTAAGGGGATTTAGAGACAGAGCAGATAAGAAAACAGAAAAGTACTTTAGAGCCATTCAGAGGAATGGGAAAACCAATGTTTCTACTATAGGCAAGAAAGCTGTGGATACTTATTTACTATCTTCAAAATGGAAATATGCTGTATTTTTTCTGAACATAAAACAAAACATTCTTATCGTAAAAAATTAGAAATTACATGAAGCTAAACAGATGATATGAAAATCATCCATTCTATGACCTAAAAGAAATCACTGTCAACATTTCATAGGTACTACCCTCAATTTCAAAATGCCTATGTAAACACACTGATACCTTTATCTTTAGATACTGAAAAAGGGGATTGTTTTACATACTATTTTATAGTGTTCTGAATATACTTCCATTCTTATAAATATAGCTCTTCATCCTGACATGGAATGGCAACGTATTTCATTAGACAGTTATATAACACAAGGAATTTAACCAGCATTCACGTGGCTTCCAATTTTTCATTACTTACAGACAATACCTGGATGAACATCCTTGTAAACATATTTCTGTGAATCTGTCTGGCAATTTCATTAATATTTATTCCCAGAAGTGAAATTGCTGGGTCAAATGAGTCTCTTTTAGACTTTAGCTGTATGTTGCCAAATTGCTCTCCTGGAAGATTGTACTGTATTACTTTGTTCTCATCATCAGTATATGGGAGCATCCATCTCTCACACCCACTTAAACACTATACATTATCAATCTATATTAGTATGTATCTACCTAACACACATAAAAGATCTCTAGGTTTGAATTTCATCTTTAGTGAAACTGCTGTCTTATCTTTCACACATTTTCCAGCTTGTCATATAAACTGCATTTTTTTCTAGTTTGCAATTTATTTTTTAATGTTGTTTATGCCACTCTTTTTTGGCCATGTAAAAGTTTTAAATTTGTATGTAATAAAAACCATCAGCCTTTGCCTTTAAGGTTTCTGGATTTATTGCTGATGTTTTTAATAGAGTTGGGGAGAATTCATATATTTAGGGAGATAGAGTTATACTCAGAATGATTTTGTGTAAATGAATAATGACAGTTTTGCTTTTGCACCCTGAGCAATGCTATAAAGATAGCAAATTGAGAATAAAGTCTTTTTCTCATTTGTATTTTCCCACTGCAGCTGGCTTCCAGTTCTCACTGACTGCAACTAAATGGAAGGCTAAACCTTTAGGCCCATGAAAGCCACATTCTAAACCTTGATAGAAATAAAAAGTAAATCAAACTCTGCCATGTGATTTCTCTGAAAAAAGCGAATCACATCCAATTATGTTAGAGAAGACAAAGGCCTGCCTGAACCTAATTCATGTTGCATGCATGTTTATTACATGAACATTTAGAAGCTATAAACAGTCTAGTCCTCTTCAATTTCTAATTTCACCCAAACTAATATATGATAGAAATAGTCCAATATCCATGCTCATGTAGAAAGTTCCGTGTAGAATATAAAAGAACTCTACAATGACAGTGGGCCCTGAATAAGATCTACATTATCGTATGTGTGAGCAGTAGCTAAGGCTGGGCAGTCTGGCTATGGTCCATTCATGTTATCCTGTATATAAAGTTAAGGCTCTGCCATATTAAAATGAAACAATTAATATATATTTGTTTTCTCTCCCATGGTCAAGAAGTCTTGGAGCCAAATATTTCTCTTTAAGAGGTTTGGGATTCAAAAGAGTTCAGGAAATATTTTTTTCTAACTGTGACCAAGCATGCAGCATTGCAGAAACGAGTTTAAAAGGCAAGTTTAAAAGGCAAGGAAGTAGATCATTCTGGAAGTGAGAAGAGCATTTTTTAAAAAAGAGGTTGTGCATTCACTAGGTGGAGCACGTAAAGATTTTTCTCTCAGTTATGGAAAATGTTAATGTAAGACAGCTAAGGCCCAGATGTTTCTCCGATTAATCATATGTAATGAGCTATAAGCATTCTTTCCTTCATTCAGTTAGCAAATAGTTATTGAGTTCCTGGTTCACCAGAATGTTCTAGTGCTGGGGACAGAGTGGTGAAATCTCTGCCCTCACTCTAGTGGGGGGAGACACACAATAAACATACGAAATATATATTTTGTTGGATAGTGATAAGCATTATGGGAAAAAAATCAGAAGGGAAGAGGCATGTGAAAGGTCAGGGGTGAGGAGGAAATGGTAGCTCTACACTGTAGGTAGGGCATCCAGGGTAGGCTTCTCAGAAGGTGACTTTTGAGTAGACTGAAGTGAGTGAGCGATTTGGCCGCAGGCGCTGGAAGTGTTCAGCCAGGGTGGGCGGCAATGCAGAAGCCCGAGAGCCTTTGGCAGCTGTCATGCAGAATATGCAGTTGAGCCCATCCTGCAGCGGCTACTAGGATTCTCACATGTACAGTAAACCAACCAGGTGGGCTTGCCAAGACTGTTGTCCAGAGACTCAAGGGGCCTTCTGGGGGCATCTCATCACAAGGGAACTTGGAAACTTGGGCAGGTTGCCTCAGGAACAAAGTCTTAGCCTAAGGGCAAGAGCAACCTTGAGAACATGGAGGTGCCTGTCACTTGGGTTTATCTCCTGGTCCAGCCTCTTCAAATACTTAAGACTGAGTGTTGTGATAAAGGGGAAAGATTTAAGTAAAACACAGACATTTTATGAAAACCTGTAAGATACAGTCACAAAGAATAGATGTATAGCTTAGTTCTTTCCAGTGTGGGTTGTAGGAGAGAGTCACTTTCCTTATTTCAGCAATGGACAAGGGGTGTCTGGAGCAAACTGACAACTGCAGGAAGCACTCCATTGGCCTCTGGAAGGCACCAGAAGAAGAGAGGTTGCAAGAAGCTGCAGCTGAGAGCAGAGACCAGATTATGAGTCTTTGTACAATAGCTAAGGAGTTTATATTGGACACTGGGGAATAGGGACATCATCAGATTTGCATTTTGGAAAGATTAACCAGGCTGCCCAGTGGAAAATGGATTTGAGGAGGCAATAAAGGAGGTAGGAAAACTAGTTATGGAGATTGACAGGGTAATTTAGGTGGGGAGCTGATGGAGGATTGAATTGCAGTAGCAGCAGTGAAGCTTTAGGAAAATGTATGTATCTGAGAGTATTTAGGTGACAGAAATTACAGAACCCGATGAGTAAATCAACATGGGTGGTGGGTGGTAGTGAAGGGAAATACTGAAGCAACTCAGGTATTTGATGTGAACAACTGGGGAGAAAAGAAGTATGGGTAAGTTTGAGTTTTTCCCCTTGGGGTGTGTGTGCGTGCATGTGTGTAAGAGGGCCGCTGATTAATTCATTTGGACATGCTGAATTAGACAGTCTGTGGAGCACCCAGGTGGCAATGTCTCACAGGCAGGTGGTTGGGTGGATCCTGAGCTGACTCTTGCTCTCTCTTTAGACCTGCTTTCTCCCTGAGCTGTAGACCTGAATATCCAAAAGGTTGCCAGATAACTCCACTGGAAGGTCTGATAAACTTGCAATGCCTTAAAGTGAGTATGTCAACTCCACACGCCTCTGTCATCTACTACCTTGCCCCTCTATCGGCCACTTGGTCCACTTTTTCACGGGGGTAGCACCACCATCTTGCTTGGACTCATGTATGTAACCTGCTTCCCATCCTCTTCATTTCTGCATAGCCAGTGGCTGGTGCAAGTGGCAACTGGGTGCCCAGTTGAATGTGACCCCAAGAACTAGAAATAGGGAAATTAGGTTGCTCTCATAGGGGTATGCTATAAACTTATCAGATGATGGGTCAAAGCCCAGATAATGTATAGTTAAGTTTCTCTGCTTGAATAAGGACAAAGAACTGGGTCAGCAATGGAAGCCCAGAAAAGGGAGAGTCAGGGAAAAAAATGCTGGTAGCGTGCAGGACTAGCATTAAACTAGTTTTCTGCCTTGTGAATGGGAGTTTCTGTGCATCTTTTAATGTATGACTTGGAATCTGAGAGGCAAGTGCCTAGCTTGATGTGGTAACAAATTCAGTACCTGATACAAGAATTCTGTTTTAGCTTTTCTCCATTAGAAAAGTGATGTGTTCATTCTTTCTATTTTCCACTTATTTTTGTTTCTAAAATCACTCATACTTCCAAACATCCAAAAAGAACTACTACTAATTGTCAGGATTTTTCCTTTCAATCTATTTTCTGTGCATATGGAAATAACACTTAGCAACTATTTCATCTCCTTTTTGTAAAAATGCAGTACAGATTTGTAATCTCAAATGACAAAATTCTTAAACAACTGTGTGGGAAAGAGTTTTGGCTGCTTCTCCCATGCCAAAAAAGAAAAAAAAAAATTCTAAGTGTACTTGACTAAATTTCAGTAAAAGAATTTCTGCAACCTGACCAAGAAAGAGATTTCTTGTTTCCAAGACTTTGCCAAGATTCACAGGCATGACAAGCAATCCAATAAAGCTTTTATGGTAGCCAGTGGTAACCTCCAAAAATGATAATTATCCAACGAGATATATGCTAGACATTATCCTTCTAAGTTCAAATTCTTGTCTCTGGTAAAGATGTGTATGGATGTGTGTGTGTGTGTGTGTGTATGTACAAACATGAATGGTAATTTTCTTATTTCCTCATGCTTAATATATTTATTAGCTAGTCTCCTTCTATAAAGGAGTCTGTTATCAACTATTTGTTTACCCTGAAATATGAACTGTACAGGTAAGTCAGAATAAATCTTCATTCTTTCTTTTTATTCATCAAATTTGTGACTATTGAGTTGGTGCCCAGTGTTAAGGGCTCAGTAAATGGAAACCATATAGTTTGCATGCTTTTGGCTTTGCTACTATTTGGACATCTTACTATATTTAAAAAAAAAGTTCCACAGTCTTACTTTCTTTAACCGAAACTCATGGTCAGAAGCAGTTAGGATTGATGCATCAAGGAACCTTACCTCATTCTCTGATGAGCTTGCAGAGAGGAGCACTTCTTGGGCATCGAAGAACTCAGAGACAGACTCCGACATGGAGAGGCGGCTCTCATTGGCTACTTGTTGTGACAGGGGGAGACTGACATGGATTTGCTCACCAGCCTACAGAAGAGAAAAGCATATGGTGTAATTGTTTTCTTCCCTGTAAGAATGGCTATTTGTTCAAATGAGACCATGACGTACTAGCCAGATTTCTAGAAAAATTCATACTATATGTTAAAAGAGTGGTGACCACAGCTAATTTTCACTTGCAACTGAGTAATGACCACTGCATAAGTTTCCTTCCAATATGCCTAAAGAATCCAAAAGGTGCAGGTGAAAGGTGAGTTGATTTTAAATCTATGCTCAATTAATATTAAGTGGAATGTAACAGGTTGAGCCCCTATCAATACCCTGAATTGACTGTGGAGACAAGTTCCTTGTCACATGCTTAGGCTTGTCATTAACTAGCCATATTCTAACCAGTATACTACACCTTAAGCAGTATTCGTAGAAACCACTAGAGATATGCTAAGAAAACAGTCTAGAAGACTAATTTTTGAGACGGAATATATAAAAGTCATTTTCCAGTTTGATCATGAATTTATCCAATGAAACATATGATTAGCGTATTGAACCTTATTTCAAATTGTATTTTTATTCAGTAAGTAATAAATATTGTTTTCAAGGACAGAATTTAAGTTTCAATCAGAAAAATAAATATATATATTCTAGTACACATTTCAAGTTGCAAAGAAGATTCAAACTGAGATTGTTGACTCATTTTTGAATGACAAAATTTTAGAAATACCTCTAGATTCTGGGCAGTTGAGTAGGCATAAGTGTCATCAGAGATCACAGGACCCATGGAGGTGGATGGATGCGGGGTGGGTAACTTACATCAAAGAGAAGCTGTCTGGGGATGGTATTTCCTAAGCAGTTAGATGGCAGAACACTTGCACCCACAGATTTCTAGAAAAATGTACATTTTTGGTGCAATATGGCCTTAGTATTAGTTAAAACTCACACCTTGTTACATGTATTACTGTTGAAAAGTATAAATTCTCATGGCTAAAAATAATAATTTTATAAAGGATTATAAATAGAATTATACACTCAAGTTTAGCCCAAATACTGAATGTTCTCCTATCCTCTAACCATTTCTTCAAAAATTCTTCTGAAAAATGGAGTAATAGCACCTACCTCAGAGAGTTGTTGGGGGTGTGAAATGAGGTAACATGTATAAACTGGGTTAGCACAATGCCAAGCACATAGTTAAGCATTCACTTGACACACGTTAACCATTTATTATTAGCATCATCATCAGTAGGAGCTATAGCAGCACTAATAGTAGTATCTTAGCAAGGTCGGGTGACTTCTCTTCTTAGATAGGACTTTTAAAACAAACCTTAAGCAAACTTTTATTTAGCACCTTCTCAGCTGAAAGAGTTTGTTTTCAACATTTCATGGGCCATTGATGATAAGAAATATTTCAAATGAAGAGTGAGAGAAAATTCACAAGCTGGAGTATATACAAACTAAATATTCAGTAGCATGAGATGAACACAGGGATAAATAAAAATAGACAACTGATCACCAATAATCAATGATGTCAAGCTCATGTACATCCTTCACTCCAAAGAACACTGAACTGTCAGCAACACAATATTTATGCAGGGAATCGTATCAGCAGTGAAAGAACTGTATAAAAATAAATAAAAATAGGCAGTAGATTTAGGTGCTATAAAATAAGTATTCTACATCTATTAAAAATGAGTCTTACCTCATCAGGGCTAGGAATAATATTTACACTGACAACCTGATCACAAATAATAGATTCTGAATGTATTCTGTTCAACCGACTCCTTAGTTCAGCATTCTGGTTGAGTGCCTTAAAATAACAAAAACCGCATATGTAATTTCAAGTTGTTAAGCAAGCATAAAGCAGAACAAGCACACAGGTACACTACAGACAACAAAGTCTTATGATGTTCTTAGCTGAAACTTTTGGAGCCACCATAGCCCAGATCCCATTGGTAAGAAGGAAATAAATGGCTCAGAATTAAGGCACTCATTTTTTTGCAATATAATACTACTTAGTAGGTTAGTGGGTTGAAAGAGTTCATGGATTTCATAAAAATGATTCATGGAATTTTCTCTCCCTTAGAGTCAGGTCCACTACACCCAAGCCCAGTCTACCACCACATATATATCACATTTTACACCCTAGGATAAAAATTATTGATTCTTTCCTTTTTTTTTGGTTTTAGTTTCTAAAATTTGGGAGTTGTTTCCAAACCAGATATCTTAAAAATTATTTGGAAATGTAATGAACAAATGAACTGGCTTTATTTTATATCTAGAGCTATATTTTAGAGCTATATTTTAGTCTGGTGAAAGAAAATAGTTGTCTTTCCACTTTCTAGGAGCACATAATTAATACCTATGACAGTACCGCAGAACTAACTTAAGCGTAGACCAAAGATGCCTTCCTTGAACAGTGTAAACATCGACAAGTATAATAAAGAACATATCACAAAAAGGAAACTAACTCCAAGCTACCTGCATCTCATGACTTTTAACACACCCTAAGTCAGCATCAGTAAAATACCATCTGCTACAACACAGTTTAGAGGGTGGGGCAAGAAGAGAACACCTTTACATAAGCATGGGCTCCCTAACAGGGGCCCTGTGGACAGAGGCACATGGAGCACATTAGTGCATGGGAACCTGTTCCATATACAGAAGACACATGTAGCTGACTGGATTACACCAAGTCTCAAGTAAAAGACCTTTGCGAGGACAAAGCCCAGTGAAAAGCTGGACAGCTCCTTTCCCTTCCATTAAAACCAGCAATTAGAAGATGGAAGTGAATGTTTCAGAGCGAAAGATAAATGTCAGGACTTACTGAAGAGCACATCTGCCCCAGGGAGTGAGGATTCTGCTTTTCTTTGTAAAGAGTCGATGACTACGGTAAACCAATACATATACAAATATAACAGCATAACTATAACTCTGTATCTATTAAATCACCCAGGATAAATTACACAGTGGCTAAACTTCACACTTGCATTGAGTGGTGCAGAATCCTTGGGCATGGAGAACAGCCCCTCTCCCTTCATCCCAGCTTTTGCTTTTTAAGAAGAAAACTGTTCACTCACAGCTTTTGGCTTTTGTTTAAAGTCTTTACAACCAGTTCATAAAATATGTGTAAAATAGAACACACTTGGTCTTGTGGGCTGTCAAGTATTGATGGATTAAAGGTGGACACAGATCCTACAGTCATATTGCAGACAGGAGGAAATATGTGTCTAGTTCTCTGAGAAAACAGGGCTGTGTTAGCAAGAAAAAAGGTGATTACTTTTTTAGTAAATAAACCATGTGCTTCCTAATACCTTTATATTCTGCAAAAGTGCTCAGGATCATTTTTCTTGGAGCAAAATCTCGAACACTTGAAATTTGAAAATAAAAATACTGTATCATTCATATTCTTTGTGACTTACATATGCTTATTTGTTCCTTCATTATTTTTCTGTCCACAAATGTACTGAAAGCTGTCTTAGTTATTGAAATAATTAGAACCAGATATATTTTGTTGTCTTGGAAGTAGGAGGCCTTGTTGTAGATTGTTTGATGGTTTTAATTGCAGAAGCACATTCATGACTTCAGGGTTTCACACAAACCTCAACTAAGGGTTCCTCCAGAGTGACTGCACCTTCTGTTGCCCCTGGAACAGAGTTAACAAAACAAACCCCACAAAAACTCAAGGGCAAGGATAAGTAATGTTCTTTTCAGAGGGTGGGAGTTTTACATACAAGTTTCCCATTTATAAGGAAACTTGGAGAATTGTTTGCTCTGGATGTTTAAGAAAGTTAAATTCCCATTTAAGCTCTCATCTCATCCAGTATTCATTAAATGTAATCTTGCCTACAGGTGTGTGTGAAGGCACACAAGGTAGCCTCTAGCTGATAATATCAATAGGAAATGAGCTGAAAATTAAAGGAATATTGTATTAATAATATATATGCAGTGGTAGAAAAACGTTATTACGTGGCACAAAAAAGCGTGGAAATAAATACTATTCCAACTCTGGCAACCCCAAGGACAGAAAGTGTAAGCAGATGCGAAGCATGCAACAGCCCATTTCTGTGTGTCTTGCCAGGACAGCTCCTCCTTTTGCCTCAATCACACAGACTGTTTTGAAGCTGGCTACAATCAAGCGCCACGGGCGCTCTTAGGGAGTGCTCGGGACCACATTTGTTACTTCCCTCCCTGAAGCTCACCTACTTTCTCTACAACGATATTATGGAAACATCCTTGGGAACATCGAGGTATACGGATATTTTCAGTGAAATGACACTATTAGTGATAATTAACATAGAAGAGCCCAGTTGATGGCAGAAACAATATACAGAATGCACCCGAGGAGTCTGTACAGTGGTGAAGCGAGGGAAAAGGAGGCACATCGCCAGCCACTTGCACCAGCTCATGAGCAAGAAAAGCCATGGAAACTTGTGAGTAATAACATTGCTCCAGGAGTGGCAGATGGGGCCAAGGCCTAGCAGGCAGGAAGCAGCCTCGGGCTCAGGAACTGTGCCTAGATTCTTTAGGAAGTCTCATTACTTGCTTCCATAAATGAGTTCAGACTGCACTACAAACTCTCTGCAAAGTATACTCATTTTCCCACACCTCATGTCCCTCACACACATTGAAGCGTAATATATCCAAGAAACACATAATTCCTGACCCATCTATAAAAGAAGTTACCATCTTGAAGTTCTGAGCCAGAGTTAATTGCCCCAATCCTCACCTCCTTGGCTATTAACTACCATTCACCCCCCTAGGCAGACAATGGGTGAGAATTTACCCTAGACTGGGTGAGACTCTGGCATAGCACATGCATTTTACTGAATGGAACTGTGGGTTCTGGGAAGGACACACAGAAGCCTGAAGGCTGGAGAAGGATATGAAACATGGCAATACGGGATCACCAGAAGACTTAAACCCTTCACATGAAAGCAAAACTGGCTGAAAAGGAGTGAGAATGAGAGTATGGAAACTGTCAAAGCTGGAGCTATCAAGAACCTGGGTATCTCTTAAAAATCACCTTGTTTTTTATTTAAAAAATACTATTATAGTGTATTTGGAAAACACAAAAAAGTAGAAAAATATTTTTAAAAATTCATACCTTACTACCCAGTCAACCAATTTCTGGTAGCTTGGTATATTTCTTTCTTTTTTAAAATTTATTTATTTAAGTTATTTATTTTTGGCTGCATTGGGACTTGGTTGCTGCACGCGGGCTTTCTCTCTAGTTGCAGTGAGCAGGGGCTACTTTTTGTTGTGGTGCGTGCACTTCTCATTGCAGTGGCTTCTCTTGTTGGGAAGCACGGGCTCTAGGCGTGCGGACTTCAGTAGTTGTGGCATGCGGGCTCACTAGTTGTGGCTCGTGGGCTCTAGAGCACAGGCTCAGTAGTTGTGGCACACGGGCTTAGTTGCTCCGCAGCATGTGGGATCTTCCCAGACCAGGGCTTGAACCCGTGTCCCCTGCATTGGCAGGCGGATTCTTAACCACTGCACCACCAGGGAAGCCCGGTAGCTTGGTACAGTTCTTCTAGCTTTCTTTCTTATGCATTTTCCACATTATTTAATGGGAACATACTCTACATCCTGTGTCTGCCACTTATTCTTTGTACACAGATATTTATTTTATGTTCCAAACTCTTCACAAATGTGATTTTAATAACTGCGGAACAAGTGATTATTTTCTACTCTCGGGCACTTACGTTGTTACTGATTTTTATTAGGATAAATAATGCTGCCATGAAAGTTTATGTGCATACAGGCTTTCTACATTCAGCATTAACCCCTTAGGTTATACATATCAGCCATGGACCAAAGGGTCAAAGGGTAAAATATTTTTAAGGCTTTTAATAAATATTGCCAAATTATGTCCAAAATGACATCAATTTAAAGTTACTGGATAGCTAAAAAAAAGATGTAAAGCGTTCTATGAAGAATATCTTCATATACAACAAATTTGGCCAAGTCTCAGGGAACTCTGAAATTCAGGGACAAATACACTTAAAACATTTATCCCAACACAGAATACTTATTTTGGAGTATAAAATGTTGTAGACAGGAAGGATGGTAAACGCTATGACTGGGATCTTAATTATGCTGCTATGTGCCTTAAGCCAATGTTTTTGCTTACATTCCCAAACATACCACGTTTCACTGATTCTAATATGCACAATTCCTCAAACATTAACACCTCTGAAGCACTGGTCAGTTTAATTGACAGTTTTTTCTTTCTTAGTAATGCACAGAATGATGGCACATCTAACGGTGGATGCCGTACTGATTTAATGAAATTCAGTAACTCTAGACTGAGTACTGGGTCATATTCTGCTGCTCACATTTGTATGGACCCAACACCCAATGCATTTAGCACAAGCTGTGTACAAACTCTGGGGCCAGAAATCAAACTGGTAATAGTGACGGAGTGTAATGTATTGAAGACAGACGCAAGGCAAGTCGAATCTTTCCTTATAGCAATCTAGGGTGCTGAGTTTACCATAGTTTTACTATATACTATTTGATTTTGGTGTTCAGTACATAAAATTATAGCTGCTGTGAAATAAGGTCATTTACAAAGGGATACATGCCACACAAAATACCTTGTCCTACAGGTGTAAATCCAACATCTATGCTGCCTTTCAGGTGTAAAAGTTTACTTTTAAAGTTTCATGGGGTAAAATAACAGAATTATGTACATTTTTGTATACATATAGATCAGGGATGAAATACTACTTTAGAAGAGAAATTCATTATACTGTTCAGCCTTGCAAATTATTACATGCCCAAGGCAGGTAAAAATTTATGCTGAGCATGTAGTGAAGAATGCTAATTTTACTTATTTTATTATGCTATGTACCTTCTAAAAGGATGATGGGATTTGCCAAGTTGATATATTTAGAAGCTTTATTGAAAAGCTTCATTTTAATCATCAGACATATATCAAATCAGACTTATGTCAAATAAAAAATAAGCTTTAAAAATGTAAGACTAATCTAAGAAGTTATTTAAACAGTCTCTCTCTCTCCTTCCCTTCCTAGGGGGAGACTTGGATTGGTAACTGTTCATCAGAAAAAATATCTGGGTTTTAACTGATGATACCTGAATAAGGATCAAAGATGTCTTTAGGCTATCTAAAATCACACTATAATGTGAAGTTCTATTAACATAGAAACATATGTAGAACAGCTGTCTCAATGTACTCAAGCTATTTCATATCTTGTTCAATCTTTAGTGATATATTTAAAGAGGTACAATGAAAACAATAGAATTAGCCAATCAGGATGGCTACATCAGTTAATTGTTTCCCATCTTCAATGTCTCCTTATCTGTTAGTTCCTTCCCTTCATGACACAAACAAACTTAGATGACTGCCAAATTCAAGGTTGACTTTCAGTCCATATATCATTTGCTGCTAAGTCAGACCCTGTTAACCTTTTCGTTCTTGAAATTATCAAAACTGTTTACCCTTGATCTCAATGATCATAGATATCTAAATTTGTCAGCTGTTTCCCCTGGGTTTCCATCAAAGGATCCTCTTTTTTTTTTTTTTTTTTTTTCAGCTTGTCCTTTAAATACTAATGTTCTCTATGGCAGTTCCATTGGCCTCTTTTATTCTGACTGAAAACACAATTTATTAACATCTATAAATTCACCAATATACGGGGGTATCCACATCTTCCTGCCAGGGCCTCTCTCCTGAGCCCTAGAGCTCAGGAGGAAACGACCCACCCAATGGGAAGGTATGTATAGCCACAAGGATGTGAACACAGCCAAGATGCTGTGATAACATGGAACTGGAAGCACTGAGTTCGCTAGTGGACAGGGTATAACTATCTTTATAGTCCCAAATTATTTTCACATTTTTTGAGTTCAAGAAAACGAAGTAAATAGAACACGCCCCGCCCCTTGCAAATAACCCAACAAAGATCTATTGAGGCTCTAAGTCTAGATGCAAATAAATGTTTAGACAAGAGAAGGAAACATTTAACCCAAAGCACGCAAATTGATGTAATTTCACTTTATTTTACTTTTATCAGGCTGGTAACAGCTGCTGCTGTCGCCTGAGGTCCATCAAGGACTAATTCTTCCACGAACCTGATCTCTAGGTCTGCTCACAGCTCAGGCATCTCTCATTTCTCTGAACACGCAGAGCCCTGGAAATCTGCACCGCTCATGTGCCACTGGGAATGGACTACAGCATGGTCCATTTAACTGTTTCCTGAGTAAATACTGCTCATCTCAGTAGTCAGATCATGAACTTCCTGGGAACATGGCCAGGGCTACTTTTAACTTGGTGTCCTATACCTTGCACTGTACCTACAGTACAGTAGTTGAATGAAACACAATGAATGAATGAACAAATGAACGACTGCTTTAAAATTTCTCCTCATCACCATTTCTAATCTCACCTGATCTCCCAAACTTAGATGTGTTTACTATTCTCTGTCTTACCAACAAGCAAATAAAAGCAAGCAAGCGGGAAACAAGCATATTTTCTTATTTTTCTTAGTACAAGCTTATCTCATACCACTAAGACTTCAATCCTTAATACATCTGAAGAAAAACACTGCAACATGTAGGGGGACAAAAGTGTATTTGACACATTTACAAGATGACATACAAGATGTTTACTAACCATTATTTTGATCTTTCTGATTCATGATCCTCTCAGGATCACGATTCAGAAGATCGATTAACATGGACTAGGTGTTCAACAGATACATGACATGAGATCAGTACAGGGCAACCGTTAAAGTGTGCTTGTGAAGGAAGCCCTCTGAAGACTGGAACACAGTTGCCGCTTTGAATGCTCAGGCTCTCGAGTTCCCTAGTTTTGCACTGGAAGCAGCATGTGCACCTCAACTGACAGTGTTTGATGGCAAACAGCAGAAAGTGTGGCCCAGAAAACAGCATTCAATAATGTGAAACTTAACGCTGAAAAGAAGCTGACAGTTCAGGTACATAAAACATGGTGAGACCAGTTTAAGTCTAATTTTCAGGAACTGAGGGAAACTCTTCAAGCGGGAGCCAATCCACATGGAAAACCACTTACCCAGGATTTGCTTGTTCCTTCGCTCTGATCCAAGGCACCAGGAAGTGAACAATATTTTATATAAACACTGAGTTCTCACACAAAATCAATAACAACATTGAAGTCTCAAAGAAGTTTTAAAGGTTAATTTATAGACTAAATGAAAATATTTCAGAGGAAGTGCTCAGTGTAAGAAAGCATAAGGGCAGTTTTAAAGGATTTTTAACAGAGATTTCAACCTTGAAATACGCAGGGACTTGAATAGTATTAATAAGCTCAATATAATATATATTGAGTAATATTTATATTATATATATATTATAATATATATATGTAAAATATATACTGAAATATATATAAGAGTCTAGCCTCAGGGAGTATAACTTAGGAAGAAACTCCTGAGTGCAAATCAGAATAGAAAAAATAGATAATAGTTATAAGTAATTTTCAACAGATTAAAATGTAAGTGGGAAAAAATAGTAAGTGTGGAAGATCTGGTAGATTTTGTCTATTTGACATTGGATCAAACATATTCTGGAACACAACTGTTTAAATGTGTATGTAAATCATGTATAAATGCACGATTTTTTTTTTTTTAAACCAGGAACTGCCTTATAATGACTACAGAGAGGCATTAAAAGTATTCAATCAGCCAAAATAGCAATTATGTTTGCAAGCAAGTTTGGTTGATTTTCACTCTTACCTTGATATTGTTTGGAAGAAAAGTAATAAAATGTAATATTGACACTGCAATGTCTTGGGAGAATCTCAGATGATGTGCCATCCCCATGATGGATTGCCTCCACCCCCATCTTTGGCTTATAGGGTTAGGAATGTATTATGAGAGTGAAACAAACACTTTCATTTACCTGAGACAGTGACTGTCGGAGCCGTGCCATCTGTGTGCTGTGGCCTGTATTGTGATCCTGCTCAGAAACCATCTGCTTAAGCTTCTCCTTCTCTATAGCTATGCTATTAAACGCTGACTTCAAAAGAGAATGCACTGCGTGGGGAGAAAAGTAAGAAACAAAGATCAAATGGATCCAGAAAGAATATACAAAATTATAAACTTCTCAGTACTTTAACTCATGCACAGATATTTTCTGGAAAGTTTATGTTACAGTCTAATTGAAAGTCAGCCATAAAATGGAATCTACCAGAATATCTATACACAAAACAAATATAGGAACGGTAATTAATCAGGATGAAAGTTTTAGCATTTCAAACCAGATAAGCCAACAAAGACCTGGAAGCAGCATATAAAATTATCAATTTTTAAATTTCAATATTTAGAAACTAAACTATAATTCCTAGAAGGAAAAGGGAACAAGTTTTACTCTGCTATATTTGAAGGCAATATTTGAGCAGTTCTGTGTACAATGAAGCCTCATGCAAATCATTTAGAACTATCAAAAATTATTTCCCCAAAGTGTGTACCCAAACAAGAGCATTTTATGAGTCCTGCCAATATAAATAAGACAGCTGTTTTAGAAGTTCTAACTAGTTCTCTTTGGGGTAGGAAATGATTTGGTCTTAAGAACAGCACTTGCATTACTTTCTCAGCCAAGAACATCATGATATCAGAAGTGTTTTTAAAGAGTACAAATTTCCAGTTATAAGATGAATAAGTTCTCGGGATCTAATGTACAGTATAGTGTTATAGTTAATAGTACTGTATTATTTACATGAAAGTTGCTAAGAGAGTAGATCTTAAATGTTCTCACCACAAAAAAGAAATGGTGGAACTTCCCTGGTGGCGCAATGGTGAAGACTCCACACTCCCAATGCAGGGAGCCCGAGTTCAATCCCTGGTCAGGGAACTAGATCCCACATGCATGCTGCAATTTAGGAACCCACATGCCGCAACTAAGGAGCCAGCAAGCCGTAACTAAGGAGCCCACGTGCTGCAACTAAGCAGTCAGTGAGTCACAACTAAGGAGCCCGCGGGCTGCAACTAAGGAGCCTGCCTGTTGCAACACAAAGACCCTGCACAACCAAATAAATATTAAAAAAAAAAAAAGAAATGGTATGGTGTTAGCTATTGCAATTATTTTCAGTATATAAGTGTATCAAATCAACATGTATACCTTGAACTTATACAATACTACATGTCAATTATATCTCAATAGAGCTGGAAATAAAATAAAACAAAATAAAAGCAACAATAAAAACAACCTCCACCGCCATTTCTGCATACCTAACAACATACATTGGTAAAAATTCAAGGCAGTCTTTAATTCTGAAACACAAAAAGGTTGAATTTCCAACTCTTATCTTTACAATAACAGTTTCTATAAAATGCAAAGTCTTCTAAAATAGGGATTTCCTTATAAGAGAAAGGATTTTTTTAAAGAAGTGGAAAAATTTAGCATAAAACAGTGGCCTGAATTAAAGGGGAAAAATGGTGAGATCATAAGGGACTCACAATCTATTGATTTATGTGCTGCATTCTAGTTATCAATTTTAAGGTAATAACTTGATATCTGAAATACGTTAACCCAACTGGCAGCTCTAAAAGTGGACTCTCACTCATTTCAAAATCCATAATTCTTCCTAAAGAGTTCATTCAGTAGTCACAGAAAAGCGCCCCCCCCTTTTTTCTAGCACAACTGAAAAGAAAACATGTTGTTTCAACAAAGGCTTTAAAATTCTGTTGAAACTTGGATTTCCTGAAAGCCTCTGGATTGCAACCAAATACACAAAGCTTTCCCAGGGCTACCTTCAAATTTACCCATCTTCCTTTAGAAGCTGTGCTATAGTTAATTCACACATTTGCTGTCTCATTTTACCTGCTGCTATAACCTCACATTAGAAGTAAAAGCTACTGGCTTTCCTGGCCATAAATCTATGCTGTTACATAAACAACATAATATTGCTCTAGTCTAATGACATGATTAGCATCCAGCTAAGACATGCAATAAAAATGTGAAAGGGGTAAAACAGGAGGTGAAAGAGAGGTGGCCTTACAGAATCTCAACTGAAAAATCTATAGAAAAAAAAGGTGGGGGAGATGATATAGTTTAACTGCTTCAGGATTGTGGAATTAAAGAAATCTCTGCTAGCACATCTTTGCTGATGGTTTAAGACTATAGGGCTTCCCTGGTGGTGCAGTGGTTGGGAGTCTGCCTGCCGATGCAGGGGACACGGGTCTGGGAAGATCCCGCATGCCGTGGAGCGGCTGGGCCCGTGAGCCATGGCCACTGAGCCTGCACGTCCAGAGCCTGTGCTCCGCAACGGGAGAGGCCACAACAGTGAGAGGCTCTAGTACCGCCAAAAAAAAAAAAAAAGGAGACTATACATTTTTGTTGACTTTAGCATTCCCAGAGATGTCCTCAGTGTGTGCCCCTTCTTTCCTGAGTCACTAGGCTCTTGAGTATTACGGGGGGTACTTGAGATGTTCCATTTAACACACATTTTCAAGAATATTTTATAACCTATTACCAGCGGGCCCAGAGGAAATACATGTGATTGATTCATAATAAGATGTTAGTGACTGAAAACAACATAATGTGTATCTTTCTCCAAGAGACTGGGAAGGTACTATCATAAGGCACACACACACATGCGCACACACACACACACACACACACACACACACACACACACACACACACACACACACACACACACACACACACAGTTTCAGTGGCTGAAATTTAAATACTACAGCAATAAGGGGAGGGAGTTAATTTGGGAGCTGAGGCTCTTCTTGGTAAACACAGACAAGACTGCCCAATCCACCTACACTCCACTCTCCTGCTTCTTATTTATTATACTCTTACTCTCTGTGCCTGATGACAGCAACTGAACCTCTGCAACATGCCTTACTGAAAACTTAACATCAAAAAAGAGACTCCAAGGTGGCGTGGACTTTTGCTCCCCTCAAATCTGGACTGGCCTGTGAAGCTCTGACCAACAGAGTGCGGTGAAGGGACAGTGCTTCAGGTCCAGGGCTGGCTGCTTCCATTCCAGTCCACTCCATTCTTTTGGAGCCCTGAGCTGCCATGGAGAGGGAGGAGGGGGAGAGTTGTGTGCAGCCTCCCAGCGGTCCAACCAAAGTGCTAGTGAAGACACCTTGCACAATTCACCCCAGCCTCCAGCTGAATACTGTTGAGGGAGCCCAACCAAATGCCGCGTGGCACAGAAGAACTGCTTAGCTGAGCCTTCCTGAATTCCTTACCCACAAACTGTAAAGTACAACTTACTATGTCGTTTAATAAAAAAAAGAGTTTCAAACAGAATCTGTTTCTTTTCTTTTTTTCCCTTGCTAAGGCTAACTCACAAGTATGTATTAAATGATGAAAAACAGATGTTGAGTAGTAGTGTCTGCTGACCTGCCTAGGATAATGCCTTTCTTTCCCCCCTAAGTGTTTGATTCCGCAAATTTCAGAGAATAAATCGATAATCCCATTATCCTAATATTCTCTGAGTGAGGAAAATCAAATTTTAATTTATGATGACCTACAATCCTAGTGCCAGGCCTGAAGGCAATAGGAAGACAGTCATCAAAGGTTAACACCCTTTTTGTCTTTCTGCCTTTTCTCACCCTCAAGGCTACTTTCTTTACTCAGTCAAAACTGTAACCCTGTGATGTGTGTTCTCCCAGGAGGCGGGCATCATATCCCACTGCATTTTGTTTATAGAACTGCAATAAATATATAAACCATTTGACCTTTCTACCATGACCACCTAAACAAGGGTAAGAGAATAAATGGCAACTTCCCATCAAGAAAGAGAGCTTCTCTCAAGGGCACATTATATTTATTGTTACCTTTCTGTGCAATTAGACAAAATTCTTCTTGAAGCTTTGTATAATCCATTGAACTTTCCAGAGGGTCTGTGAGGTGGCTAGGGGGAGTCTGAAATTCAATATCTGCACAAAGGTTGGGGTTGGAGGAATGCAAGCGAACCGGGGACATGGTAGCACTGAAAGGAACCTGAAAGGGGAGGACACAAATTATTAGAGAGCAACAGCACATTGTTCCACCCTCTCTTACACAGAAAAGATCTCTTCCAGTCTCCAGAATAATAGATTCCTCTCTGAGGACACACTCGGAGACAGTACTCATTTATTTTGCAGGTGGCTGGGTAGGAAGGAGTCTCATTTCCCATAGCTGATTTAGTACTGCCACTGACTCACTGGCTTTTCACTGTCACAGGGAGAGATAATTACACAATGACAGGAAGAACAGGCACAATCCCAGATAAGCTTCAGCTCTGAACCCACGGAAACAGCGCTGGCAGAAAGCAGTCTGAACTGTGACGTAGCTGACCTTCTCTCACTCAAGTCAGAGCACTTTTTATGCCTACTTCTTTCTGAGCCTGGAGCAGGAATTTACTGGACAGGTAATAATTCAAGAGGTGCGTATACAGAAAGATTCACTTGCTCCATCGCCATTAGATAAAACATAAGTAAGTTTAATACTAAATATAATAATGGCTTAAAAGGACTCACAATTAAATTTGAAATTGATTTATCAAGATGTATTTGTAAATGAAATGTAAGTTACTGTAGTTTACCTTTGTATGTTACATAAACATGGCTTATGAACTGGCCAATATTGAAAAGCATTAAGTAAAAAAAGTCATATTCCTATAGATTTCCCCAAATGGCTAGAGGTACTTCCTTGCCCAGGCTGGATCTGGGCTAGGCTTCTGATGGGTGGAGGCAAAGCACCTTTCCCTCTCCTTCTAGAAGGTTCTACCTGCCCATTACAAATGCTATCAGCCAAACACTCTTGGAAAATGAGAATACCAATTCCTCTTATAAATCAGATTACCAGTAACCTCCCCTAATTCTTACTACACAGATATGCATTCAATTATCTTCAAGAATCAGACTCTCAGACTCCTCCACAAGCTGAATTTTGTATAAATTAAAAGATAATTCACACCCTCTACCTAACAGAAAATATGCTGTAGGAGGAAGGAACCAATATCTTGTCTGATGTACATGTATGTCAGAACCACTTCCTTTTTTCATTGTTTTATTTAGCTTTAAACCTCATGATAGAACAAGAGGGGAGGGAGGGACCCTGAAAGCATGTGCCTGTGCACGGAGGATACAGGGATAGAGGAGATGGACAGACCCCCAAAATCTAGCCTGAGCTGCAGTTGGTGAGTCTGGGTGAGGGCAGTTGAGACTGGAGAGGGTCCTTAGGATGTAGCTTTGTCTTGGCAAGGAGTTATTTATCTCAAAAGATATCCAAGGCTTACTGGGAAAGAAACTGGGCATGAAGCTTTCTCCCCAGTTCCGCTAAGCTAAGCATGTTAACATATGATCTGTGAAGAATTTGGTATCTGGAGTCATCAAAGTAACTCTTCCTCATCCCCTATGGGGTCCTCATCCCCTATGGGGACCTTGGCTACACTGGGCTGGGAGGTGTCAACAGCTTGTTTATCTCATCAGGATCTGAATTCCTGGCTATTCCAGAGAAGAGACACAAAAGTGGCAGATAAGCCATTTGAGAAAATGGAGTCCTTGGGTTCAGTAATTTGCTGGAATCCTATCCAGGCAACTTTGTGACAGTAATGACTGAGGTTTTTTAGGATATCCATAAGGGAATGGGGTTTATGTGAAAGAATATTTAAAGACAGATAAAGAAAATTTCTGTCCTTGCCTGTGGTGATGCTCAATCTAGAAAGAGCAGTCAGCCCAAGGCCCTCTAGGAGGGACAGAGAGAATCCATGGAAAGGTTGGTGATGAGAAGGTCATGGGCAGAGGCTGTGACTTGAGGAAATGGACAGACCAAGGAGTCTGCAGATTTAAGGATATGGTTTCAGGATGCAAGGAACTAGAAGAGCATATGGGAAAAAGGAATGTGCGTGCTTGGTGGTGGGGAATGAAATGTGTTGAGGATCAACAAAAGGGTTTTATCTGCACTCAGGTGCCCTCAACGCTCCAAGGAGGGGCATGGCGTAGGAGAGGGGTCTCCTCCCTTGAGTGGATAGGGAGGCTGGGGGAGCAGTAGTGATGGGAGGCCAGGGTGTAGTGGAGGCCCAGAGAGTCCAGGGAGGACCCAGACTTGTTCCTGAGATAATGAGCTCTTAATTAAAAGTTGGAATCAGACACTGAGAAGAAAAACATGTTATAAATTTATATTTTGAACATAATGGAAGTTTAAATTGGCAATTAAAATGGTAAAAATGATTTTGTATATAACCCACAGGGAAAGGGACTTGGAATGCTCTATTCAAACTGCAATCAAACAGTTCCCTGGGACATTGAAAGCTAATATTTATATACTTCTGACTGAAAATGTTTATATTGATTTTTTTTTTTTTTTTTGGTTAAAATAAGTATGTGGAATGGATCATTTTAATTGAAAAATTCATGAAATAAAATTGAAAATACAAATTGAGATGTATTAATCTAACTCTAACTGAATATCTCTTCAGCCTGGGGGCTTATTTACTCAGTTTTTTATTCATCAATTTGAGTATTATGGGATTTGAAAATTTAAACGGTAACTAGGTTCTCTGTCAGTGATGACTGGAGTGGGGCTGTCTACAGTTCTCAATGTTTGTATGTGAGAAACCTCAATGCTGGAAATGCAACTTCACATCCTCCTTAGGAAAGAAATCCAAGGCTTCCTTGAAATCCTGTGACAGGGAGGAAGCCTGATCCTGGAATATTCTGGTACCAGTAACTGCAGTTTGGAAGGGGGCTGTTAGGAGACGCTTTTATCACCTGTCTATAAAGAAGCCAAAAGAGAAACAGATTGACAGTGGACTGGCACTGAAATTTAGCAGTGGTAAACATGAATAAAAAAGAGAACATACAACAGCAAGTCTAAGGAAGATATTGAGCATACACAACTCACGGAGCCAATATGAAAAGTCACCTGCTACTGTTACTCTGCATCACACGTACAGGGATGCTAGTGTGGGGTACTGATTGCACTGGGACTCTTGGGGTCTTTCCACGGGGAGGGGCCAGCGTTTCTCCTTTCCAACCCCCTATTCTGTAGGGCCTGCCTGATGGTGCAAGTGGACCATTATAGATGCTATTGCTAAGAATCAACGAGAATAAATCTCTGAAACATCCTGGGTGTACTTGTCTTTGGGAGCAATCTCAGCTGCCCTACACACCTAAGTGGGCAAGGAGAACAAGTAGCTGGAGTCATTTGGAAGAATTCCAGACAAAAGGCAACTAACAGGATAGGACAGACTCCAAATGTGTGGGCTAACTTTACTGTTGGTAAGAGGAAAGGCAGGGAATTAAGGGGAACCACTGCACTAAAAGAAACAGGAGGGCTGAGTCACCAGCGACAGGTCACTGAGATGTGGGCAAGGGGGCTGAGGGAGCCAGCGGAAGGTCCTGCTAGATGTTGTCCTGCTCTGGTATGGAGTTAAAAGCTATAGATCCTAGAGGGTTTAAGAGTAACCACTCCCTCTAGTTATTCCTGAATACATGACTAAATGCTGCCAGCTTCATTCATTAGATGGTCTAAGTTATTCTTAACCTCTGTGGTCACAGCTACCCTGGAGGAGGTGAGCATTAATACCTCCATCTTTCAAAAGCTTTTTCTCTTGTACTCCCAACTTAAAAAAAAAAAAATCAACCTATTCAAATAGGTTCTAATCTCAGTTTTATTATATTCACTATATGTATCTGCAATCAAAAAATGAACACAGCAGTTCTAACACAATCACTTCCCTGCATGCCATCTTAGAAGTACATTATTTAAGGAAACTTTTGTATTTTCATAAAATGACTGACCCTCCCTTTCCATACTGAGATATTGTTCTCTCTCTAATAATCATTTGGATTTCTGAATTTTGTAAATGAAAGGTTACATTTAAGAATTTAAAAATTGATTTTACATGGATTTATTGTCAGAATCTGTTACCATGTCAGAATCAGATACTTTTTTCATCTGTATTTGAATACATGCATAAGATAGACATTAACCATGAAATCAATTTCAAAAATTTGTTTGTTCAAGTGTTCACAAAACTGCGAGTTTAAGAGTCAGTCCCTGGGGCTTCCCTGGTGGCGCAGTGGTTGAGACTACGCCTGCCAATGCAGGGGACGCGGGTTCGTGCCCCGGTCCGGGAAGATCCCACGTGCCGCGGAGCGGCTGGGCCCGTGAGCCATGGCCGCTGAGCCTGCGCATCCGGAGCCTGTGCTCCGCAACGGGAGAGGCCACAACAGTGAGAGGCCCGTGTACCACAAAAAAGAAAAGAGTCAGTCCCTAATAAGTTCCATGTCACTTGCTCATTTCATAATCAAAATTATTTGTCTCTCAAACAAACCAGCTAAGTACCCAGATATAAATCAAGAGTCAGTCATGAGTTATAAAGTAGAAAACCAACAATCCATACACCAGTATCCATTCTCCTACAATGCAACCAAAATCTCTTCATATTTTTCAGCAATTCTAGTCTTAAAATACATTCCACCAACAGCAAGAACAAGACTATGATAATTCAGGAAATCTTACATAATAGCCAAAAAATTAACATTTGCCATGAACTCAGTACTCTGCATATAAAAAGTTGATAGGATGTCATGATTAAACAAATATTATGATTTATTTTTATCCAGCATAAGGTTCTTGGTTTACATATTCTATTTTATATTCCACGTGGCAGTTCACTATTCTAAGCACCTTCTATTCAATTTTAAGTTTTAGTTATTTGCCTTATATATATCTCAATACTCCCTCTATCCTCCTAACATCCACCCTATTTTCTCTTTAAAAAAAAAAAAAGCCAAACCAACATCTAGATGTGAATTAAACACCATTTAACTTTGTGGTTTTCTCCTTTCCACACTATATTTTCTGATTTCCAGCTCAATATTCTTTTCAGAAAACAACTTTCCTTTGCTAAGTGTAAGTTTGGGTAGCTGCTGAGAGATGATATCAAAATTCACCTTTTCTTACCCTCTCATTTCTTTATTTTCACATCCTTCTCAAATAGTCACATTGCTACCAAAAAAGCACAATTTATGTCTGTAGTAACATGGCTTTTCTTAGAAAAACAGAAATCAGTTAGCAACGGTTCCAATATCACTATGGCAAAAAAAACAAATAAAAAACCAAAAAGAAAAACCCCCAAACCCACACCGTTTCAGGAAATCGCCCACACAATCCATTTTGCATCCCTGAATTTAAACTGTTTTTCACACTGAGAGTAGAAGTAGAGATCTGGATCCCATGATAGTTTTCCACTGCAAACCCAAACACCTGTGTGCGAGGCCGGCAGTGCAAAGACAGCCAGAGAACATGCGAGAACTCCGCCAACACAGGAGAGGGCTGTGCTTGATGCCATCGCACACGAGTGGCACCATTAGAACGCGGGGCAGGGTGACACTAGTACACAGTTTCTCATTCTCATTAAACATCCACTTGAGATTGAAATCCACTCACTGTTGTAGCCACTGCTGCTGCTAGCCTCTGCCGGCGCCGAGTTGTGCTGAACTGGCCCTTCGAAGATGGCCCTTCCTGACAGCGAATGAGAGAAGAGGAGGGAGGAGAAAACATGGGATGGGGGAGGGAGAAGCCAGGACACGGGAGGATGAAAGGTAATCAGACAAGGGAGAGGGAGAATTTTTAACTGAAAGTTGACTTTTGCTAAATCTTAGCATTGAAAATAGCTTGGAGGGGCATTCATGCTGTGAGAAAAGTTTATTATTCTCATGGTAGAACACCCAAACACTTAAATCTATTTGCTGAATATAACCCCTACCCCAAAAGGAGATGGAAAGTTATGAAGTGATGAAGAGCTTACGATCTCAAGGTAAAATAAATGTACGTCTTGTTTTATTCATGCAATGCCATGTTCTACGAAGCCAAAAGGCATTCAGTAGATTGAAGCAAAAAAAAAAAAAAAAAAAAAAAAAATGTTCAGGAAAAAAAAAAAAAAAAAAAAAAAAAAAAAACAATGAGTTCAGGGAAAAGTGACTAAATAAATAATGTGCAAAGGCTAAAGCAAACAGGTTGTAATGAGAGCCTCCTGTTGGTCGGAAGAATTTTTTGTTTCTTGCTGGGAGGAAAAAGTAAGGGGAAGGATACCAGGAATCCTCAACTCCCTATGTTTTCTCCTACTATAAAGGTCTCTGGGATTCAATATTAAGAATTATATTGATCTTCGGGTTGAAGAATTTTCCAAGGAGGAAGCCAGGCCCCATAATATAGGAAAATAATCTCAATGTCCTCAGTGTGCTGGGATAACACCTATAAAAATCAGCTATGAAAATCTGAAAGTATAGGCTTCATTTAGTGATGTGCAGCTATGCATAAACCAGTAGAAGAATCTTAGAGCTTTTGCTTTCTTTCCTTCTTTCTTTCTTTTTTTTCCTTCTCTTTTTGGTGGACACGATAAAGGGTAATAGCACTGCCTTCTAATCAACTCAACTTTGCTGCATTTGACAGACCCTGACTCTTCAAGGTTGTGAGCAATAAATTCAGTTCCAATTAGCTGAAATGTTCTCAGAGTCACCTAACAGTCAGACTGAGAAAAAAACCAGCATGGCTGTGTTAGTCTTTTTGGAATAACAGAAAAATATTTTAAATTCTTATATCTCCAATTCTCTTTAATTTTCCAAATTATATTCACATTTCTCTCAATCGTCATAAATCTGTGTACATATATGTATATGCTTATTAAACACAAACACACACACATAATCTGCTCTAGACAAAACATTTCCTATACAAAATTCCTTTATGCCTACTGTAATAAAAAAAAAAAAGGAGAAAGAATATGTTTCTACTCTTCAGTGTAATTTGAGCACCTGTGAGATCTAGGATAGCTGCACATGAATGACATCAGATCATTCATCTGCTACCCCATACCTCCTACTATCCCTTATTCTCTGCAATATCTACAGATCTAGTATTTAATGCATGCTATTAGCAACACAGGAAATGTAACAGCAATCTCTTCTACAGCAATCCTTATAAAATCATTCTCTTCTTGCCCTCCTCCATCTCATTTAAAACACAACCAAACTGTTTTACTGCATGATGATGATACTGAGATTTTTGTGAGAACGAGAAATTTAAGCTTTGGGACACAGGAAGTATTTTTTCTAACAGGTAATTCCACAGAGACGTCTAGGACAACTATTGCCTCCAATTAATTACACAATGGATTCTTGAGCTAGCTTCCCAGTGGCTTCAAGGAGAAATATGGTCCAAATTTTAACACTCACATTCAAATCAATAGCACAATCTAACTTACCTAAGAATAAGCAATCAAACATCCAGTAAAACATGTTCTTCATTTTTACTTTCCTAAGGTCAATTTTTAAAATGATCTATTTTATAATTATTTCAAAAATTACAACTACTACAGAATGCTGCATACAAACTTCAGTAAAACAAGATCCATAACAACAATAGCAGGAACAATAACCACCACCACCACCACCAGGCAGTCTAGGTTCCTGCATGAATGTCTGGTGGACTAGAAGTTCCAGATGATAGAGGGGATGAAAAATGAGCCACTCACTACAAAAAATCTCTCAAGTTGGCCACAACAATGAAGAAAGTGGTTCAAGTAGTGAGATGATTAAGGGCTCAAAACAAATCCCTGGTATCATGAGATGGGATTCTAATGGTCAAGAAACATTTAAAACAGGGGGGAAAAACCTGTGTATTAGGGTGGGAGAAAGTGGTGGGTATGTTTAATCCACTACAGTAAAAACAAATGCTATGACTTTCTGTAGGTAAAATACTGGTGAGTAATGACATTCATATTAGTCATAGTCATCCCTGGCTGATTTTAAGATTCCCCAGTCAGGTGTGCATGGTGAAGAAACTTCCAAGTAACTTCTCAGTGATAGAGAATGAGCATCCTGAGGGATCCTGGAAGGCCTGTTGGTTTGGGTGAGCAGAAAATGTCTAGGGATGGTACTAAATTCTGCAGCATTCACCCTATGATCCTTTGTTTTACGAGATCAAGTGGAAGTGATGTTTCTCTTGGAATGATTAATAGCTTACCGCCACCTCTCAGTCTATTTATTTCCACTGGAGTTGGAACTAAATCTTTCGAAAGTTTAATGTTTTCTTTGAGTATGGGATGAGGTGGTTTCAATTTCCCCCCAAAATAATTAAACTAGAATCACAAGGGTCATTTTGTTACTCTTTGGCAAAACAGAAACAAGGCAAAAGAGGATAAATGAAAACTTAAGAACAAACCACCCCAAAATGTGACAGGAATATGAAATGGAGAATATTCTCCTGCTTTTTGAACAACTTCTTTTGATGACTCAGAAAAAAAATCTTCATAAACTCTCCACACATTGAAAAGCACAGCCTGTGAATAGGAGGGCTATTCAGAATTACATTCTGTTTCCTCCAGAAAACACTGAGTGATACGGGGACCATGGTGGGCCTCGTAACTACAGTAGGACAGCCAGTGGCATTGCGCTCATACACATTGAGAACCAACCTATTGCAGACCACAGCTGTGAATGGGAATTTGTTCAGTGGGATACCTTATAAAAACAAGATTGAAATGCTATCTAGCCACAAATGTATATGTTCTTATGATGCTGGCCTTCTTCAATTATTTTATTTGTAATTAAGGTTCTTTTTTCCTGGCTATGATAACCATAGATACCATGTTTAAAAAACAACAACAACCAAAAAAAACGACCGCCACAAAACTAGACAATCGTATGCTCAAAAGCAATTTTAGGCAATTTTCTTGTGAAGTCATTTGGCACATTTGTCTCTATAGTATTAATTTTCTGAAAAGAAGGGAAAACGCACAGAAACATACTGAACAAAAGACCACAAGAAATTGTGTTCATAGAATGTGGACATTCTAACTAAAAAAAACAGTGATCATTAGTGCTTGTGAAAATTTATTTTCAAATATATCAGATTAGCAAGCAAAGCAACAAAGAGTTTGTTATTCATACATTCAGAATTAAAACACAAAGAATGTTATCAATAAAACCAGAATTAAGGAAGAATTATTGTTCTTATTTAAAAGACTGAAGAATCCTAAAAAGCAGTCCCTTTTACCTCTGTGTTAGAATACAGATTGATTTATAGTGCAATAAAAAGAAAAACAAAATCATGTCTAATTTTGATTGTGCAGGGCAAGAGTCCTTTATAATATATAGCTAGAATTGGAGTAGCAGAAATTCAAGCTTAAAGATCTGAAAGTGACATGAATTTTGACGTAAGAGATTTTAGGCATTTGCCACATTTTGTATCATTGCAATGCAATGACATAAAAGGATCTTACTTTAAAAATTTTAAACTATTCATTTCAACTAAATAACTTATTTAAAATGAATTTCAAGTAAATTCATCACAAGCCATGAAGACTTTAGTTCAAATTTTAAAAGTGAATGTTGATGGCCAATAATATTTTTGTAGAATCATAGAATTTTAGAGTTGAAAAGGAATTCACAGATCATCAAGTAAACTCCATCACTTTACCCAGGAGTTAATGGAAGCCCCGAAAATTTAACAGAAATGCATGAGATTATACTGCCAGGAAATCACAGTGATTAGATTAGAACCCAAGTTTGTTACTTTTCTAACCTATTGCAGCCCTCATCTCATTTATTGATAGATACAAGTTTGGACAGCGTTAACACATAAAAGCCTCTTTTAAGATCTAGTATATATAAGTGAATTTTCATTACAACCCATTTGATTTTCAGTCTAGATTTTTAAGGTGACTTTTTGTTAAAATATGTTTTAATGGTTCCAAGGCCATAATTGAGGATGAAAATGCCACTTTACAGCCATATTACATAATTTTAACCTTAAATTCTTTTTACTTATGCCAGAATAAGAATAGATTTCTCACTGCTTTAGATAATATAACTCAGCCTGAAAAGCACTAGCTTTAAAGCAGTTAAAAGCTGCTTTAAACTTTTCAACTTCTATGAATTGATATATACAGACTAATATTTAAAAAATATATATATAAGTATAAATGAAGGAAAAGTAAAGTCTGTACCTGCAGTTGTATTTTTGTATCTTTGCTGACACTTTTTGTTCTCCATCGTCTTGTGACCCGCTTGTCTTTCTTTGAAATATCTACACAGTTAGCCTACATTACACAAATAGTTAAAAGCAACAGAGCATCATTAAGTTAACACAGATGATACAGGTATAGACAAAGAGAGCACAGCAAGTTAGTATAGAATCATTGTTAGACACCTAAAGCAAACCAGCCAGGAGATAAAGGTATATCTGATGCACAGTGGGCATTAAAAGCAGAGATAAAAACTTAACCATAAAACATATTTTTCTGCTATACCAAATGAAAACAGGATTAGTGTTTTTGCTACACAAAAGACAGTAATAATTCTGAGAGTATCTAATTTATGTCTTCATAACTATCATTTCTAATGCAACACAAAAATGAAAGAATGATTCAGATATTTACTTCTTTCAGTTAGTTTGTATTTAAATGTAAAACATTTCAAAAAATATATCTTAACACAATGACACCAAGATTCAAAAGTACTAAGAAGAACTCCAGAATATAAACCAATCCTTATTGTAGTTATTTCCCTTTAATTGTTACCTTGTATATTCATAGAACAATCCAGTAAAAATTCTGAGTGAATATCTTAAGGTCCTTTGACCAGCAGCAGTAAAATCTTTACCTGCATGTCAGTAAAGTTAGGCGCTGACTGAGTTCTCTGAAGTATTTCCAAATTCTGCAGGAGTTTGCTAAGTTCCACAAGGTTTGACTGGCAGTGTGCAAGGTCTAATACAAATCAGAAATTAAAATATGTTACAACTGGGCAGGGAGTGGTGGTGATGATAATAAAAGGCACTCTATCCAAATTATGGCAAATATGAGGAGGCAGATCTATGTTTATAGAATGATGATACTGGCAAATGAAAGAAAACAGAACTGGTCTCTGGTTTAGAACCATACAACCACTGATTATTTATTGGATGACCTCAAAACCCACTCTTACAAATGAACAGTTATTAGTGTAGAAAGCCATTAAAATCCCAGTGAAATTGGGTGTGCTCATTTTCCTGTTGAGGTGGCCTTTGTCACATCAGAAGCACACTCAAGGGAACTGCAGCAGTTGTACCGTTCTGTTGTTAGGAATGTGTCTACCTGCTATGAAGGTCTTCATATAGGACTCAGAATCTCTGCACACTCTACAGAGAGCAGGGCAGCAGCAATACATTGGGGGCCAGGTCCCACCCAGGTCCCATCTCTCAGCAGCATCTGCCCTAGGGTGGAGCCCTAGGTGAGCTGTTCAAGTGCTACTGTTGTTCTTCCAGGGAACTCTTGGCCATCAGTGGCCTTTAAATTCCTCAAGAAAGGAAATCACCCAACGCAGGTGACGGAAGAGAGTACTGAGGGGGCTAGGACCCTTCCACCACCCCCTCCCCATTTCAGGGGAGGCAGCACCACTGTAGTCCTCCCATGTGCCCCACGAAGAAAATAAAGTGAGTGACTTGGAAGGGTAGGAAATACTGGAGATAAACAGGAAGGAATGAGGGAGAAAATTAGTACAAAGAAAGAAGGCAGGCATTAGAGGGAAGAGGAGAAAGGAGTTGGCTAGAAGAGATCTATTTTTTGTTTTTTTTTTGGTACGCGGGCCTCTCACTGTTGTGGCCTCTCCCGTTGTGGAGCATAGGCTCCGGACGCGCAGGCTCAGCGGCCATGGCTCACGGGCCCAGCTGCTCCGTGGCATGTGGGATCTTCCCAGACCGGGGCACGAACCCGTGTCCCCTGCATCGGCAGGCGGACTCTCAACCACTGTGCTACCAGGGAAGCCCAAGAGACCTATATTTTAACTTGCCTTTTAAAGAACAAAACTACATCACAAGCACCATGCTGGTAGGGACATTATCTAACAATACCTATCCATTAAAGCTTCTATCCAGTAAATATTACATTAATTCTCCTAAATAACTGTGATTATTCTATACAAATGGTGTATTAAGTAGCGTACAGATATAGAAATGGGGCTTAAAATCCTTTCTAACAGAATGGAAAGAGAACTTGGTGAATGAACTCGATTCAAGGCAAAAGGATCCAAAACTAAGGGTCGGGAGACATTGATTTACTTTACACTTCTCAGCTGCAGTTTTCTTACCTGTCAAGTGGTGACAGTACTATTTACTCTCTTACCTTCCTAATGAAAGTAGCAACTGAGATGGGAGGTGAGAAAATTCTATGAAAACCAGAAATGATCTTTATGGAGTATTAACTGCACTATGTTTAATCATTCTTCTAGGGCCTTAACTTGGAACAAGCACACCATTCCTTGACACTTCTATCATGGAAGAAATGAAACCCCTGGCAGAATTTTGCTCCTTGCTTAAGTGTCTGGTTGTATGTAAGGATTATAAGGACTTGCCCAAGACAATAAAAATACCTTTAAAAAGAAATCTCTAGAATTTCATTAAATTAGATCTAATTTTAGAATCTGGGAAAAAGGAAATATTATGCCAAGAAAGGACTGTTGAGACAGTTTATAACAGTAAAAAATTTAAAACTTAAATATCTAGCAGTTTACTTACTTTCTCATCTTCCCTACCTTGTTCTAAAAAGAACTCTACTCAATATTCTGTAATAACCTACGTGGGAAAAGAATCTGAAAAAAGAATAGATACATGTATATGTATAACTGAATCACTTTGCTGTACGCCTGAAACTAACACAGCATTGTAAGTCAACTATATTCCAAAATAAAATTTAAAATTAAATTTAAAAAAATAAAAAGAAACATCCAATTGCAGAATAGTTAAATAAATTAAGGTATATCCAAAGTTATCCATTTACTATTTCATTTAGGAATCACTGACTTGGAAGACACTATGCACCCAGCACAGTTCTAAGCACAGGGAATATAGCAATAAAATAAGATTCATGGAATTTACCTTCTGGTTTAAAGAAAATGTACACAATAAATAATCTGTACGTTGAACTATTACATACCATTTTAGTGACGGCATATACTGGTACATAAGGATGGCATATAAAATACTAATTTATAGGGCTTCCCTGGTGGCGCAGTGGTTGAGAGTCCGCCTGCCAATGCAGGGGACCCGGGTTCGTGCCCCGGTCCGGGAGGATCCCACATGCCGCGGAACAGCTGGGCCCGTGAGCCATGGCCGCTGAGCCTGCGTGTCCGGAGCCTGTGCTCCGCAGCGGGAGAGGCCACAGTGGTGAGAGGCCCACATACCGCCAAAAAAAAAAACAAAAAAAAACAAACTAACTTAGTATTTTGTTTCTATGGGAAAAAATGCTCTCCAAGAGCCAAGAAATTCCCTTACATACTTGAGATCTGGACTGACGGAAGTCCAGACCTATGAATAGCTAACCTCTTTAAGTACTGGAACTATAAATGTGCTATGTTATGGGTTCAAGAAGATGTTACTTGATGAACTTCTGAAATGCAACCAACCTCAATATTGGGATGCTATGAAATGATCAAAATAGCCCCCCCCGCCCGCAAAAAAAGTGCTATGGTAGTTCAGGAAAGGGACAGTTACTGTGGTTTGAGGTCATCAGAGCAGACTTATAAGAGACAGTAGAACCTTTTGTGGGTCTGGAGGATTGATAAAAAGGCTTCAGCAAAACAGGAAGGTGGAGGAGGGCAGAGAGGGCACTGCAGGTTGGGAAGACAGCCTGTGCAAAGGCATGGAGGCAGGAACATGCAAGCACGTTCAGGAAATAGCAAATAAGTTTAATTAGGCCTATGGAAGGCAAGGTTGAAAGGGTAGGCAGGGCCAGAAAGCTGAAAGCTGGATGTTAAACGCTGGGCTAAGTAGTTTGGACTAAAGCCCAAGAGCTCACGGAGAACCACCTGAAGAGATTTTTGCAAGAAGTTATTTTATGAAATAGTGGTCTTGAGGGACTATTATATGTAGTGAAGAAAGAATGGCTTTGGGATTAGTCAAATGTGGGTTGGCTGGAGTCCCAGCCTCTCTATTGGGGCAGCTGTGTAATCTTGGGCAGGCTCCTTAACCTCCGTGCATTTCACTTTCCTCATCTGTGAAGTGGGGACAGTAGCAATACCTATGTCTCATAGGCGAGGGCAATGGGATAACGGCTGCTAAGTGCTCGCACTGGATGCAAACATGTCCAAACACAGTAATTTCCCAGGAGCCTCTGAGAGCGACGGAGCCACAGAGCAAGAGACTGAGGATGTGGGTACCAGTCAGAGCCTGGGCAAAGGGTGAGCCTGAGTTAGGACAGCAGAAATGGAATTCCAGAGGAAGGGTAGATGAGGGGGAGGAGAGATGGGGGAAGTTTGCAAAGAAATAACAGAACTCAGTTTCAGCTGGATGAACAGGGTGGGTGAGTCAGAGATGACAGAGGTTTCAGGAGTGGTTATGAGAGCAGCACTGACAAAAACAGGGGAGCCCAGGAACTGGGACCATTTTCACAGAGGAGACAGAGAATTTGGTTTTAGACAGGCTGAGGAGAAGGCATGACCGAGTGTACAGACAGAGAGAGTCCACAGCAAGGGAGGGGTTGGGAATGTAGCACGGGCTGGATACAGAGGTCTGAAATATAAAGAGAGTTTTCAGCCCTTTTGAGAGAAATATGGTGCAGTGATTAAGAGCATATGCTCTGGAGTCAGACTGACTGAGTTTGAATCCCAGCTCCACCATTACTAGCTGTGTGAACTGGGTGCAAGTGAGTTAACTTCTCTGTACCTAAGTTTTCTCACCTAGTGGAGTTGAGAGGATTAAATGAGTTGACACACTTAAAACACCTAGAACAGTGCCTGTGGCACCCCATACCTATCAGCTGCCGCCACTACCACCACTACCATCATCAAAACAGAGACTGCAGGGCTTCCCTGGTGGCGCAGTCGTTGAGAGTCCACAAAAATCTGTCACAGGGCTTTCGTGGTGGCACAGTGGTTGAGAGTCTGCCTGCTGATGCAGGGGACGTGGGTTCGTGCTCCAGTCAGGGAAGATCCCACATGCCGCAGAGCAGCTGGGCCCATGAGCCATGATTGCTGAACCTGTGCGTCCGGAGCCTGTGCTCCGCAACAGGAGAGGCCACAACAGTGAGAGGCCCGTGTACAGCAAAAAACCCAAAGAAACAAACAAAAAAAAACCAGAGACTGCAGTTGAAACTAGAAGCATGCCTGTCATCTCCAAAGCACAGAGCACAGTCATTAAGATCAAGTTGGCCTGGGTTAGCCCTTCAGCTCTGTCAAGTACTTGCTGTGTAACTTGGACAAGTTACTTCCCCTCTCTAAGCTGTAGTTTCTCTACCTATAAAAATATGATTCAAAATTCCTGCTTGGTACTATTGTGAAAATCTATAAAATACCACATATGTAAAGTGCTTAGTTCAGTGCCTGGCCCATATGAGCACTCAACAAGCTATAGTTACTATTATTATTATTTTTTTTTGCAGTACGTGGGCCTCTCACTGTTGTGGCCTCTCCCGTTGCGGAGCACAGGCTCCGGACGCGCAGGCTCCGCGGCATGTGGGATCTTCCCGGACCAGGGCACGAACCCGTGTCCCCTGCATCGACAGGCGGGCTCTCAACCACTGCGCCACCAGGGAAGCCCTATAGTTACTATTATTGAAGCTAAAAGCAGAACACTGAATCTTGATCATCCCTGCAACCAGGGTTGGCCAGAGAAGAATCCCAATGAAACAGAGAAGAAGCAGTTGGAAAAAAAGGAAAACTTCATGGGGCCTAAAAGAGGAGGCTCATTAAAGAAGGTCCTGCAGGGCGGGTCAGAGGATGAGGCTTGAGAACACAGCAGAAAGCAGAAGGCGTCCTGCCGCCAAGAATGCTTCTTCTATAGAGCAAAAAGGGCAAAGTCAAATTATGGGAGAGAAGCTGAAGTCTACGGGTAGGAATGACTGAAGTGGGAAAGGCTGAGGTTGTTCTCAAGACAGGAGATCATTACTACACTAAATCCTGAAGGAGAACAGAATGGCAGGACGAGGACACAGGTAGAGAGATCAGGACGGGGGGAAGCAGGGTCACCTCCGAGACTGGAGAGAGGGCACAGGGATGGGCCACAGAGTACCTGAAGCACACAGGGAGACAAAGACATCCCCCCACCAGCCGGGGGCTTCTTGGCATCAAGGTCAATGTCTATTTATTTTGGTCACATGAATGGACTTTGTCCCGGTAGACGGTCTCAATCTTTTCAGCAATGTTGGTGGCCAGGTTAAACTCCACAAGCGTGGTGCAAAGTGGCAGAAACTGGAGGAGAGGCTGACTGTCTAGAACCGCCGCAGAGGGAAGCCTGCAGTGTCTAGGACAGTGAGGTCAGCTTCTTCCCCAACCGGAAGTTCATAAAGGCAAAGTAACGTCTGTGTGTTTTGTGAATATACTCAAGTAAAACCCTTTTAATGGAATGTTAGCTGGACACACTTTATGAATATAACATCCCCCTTAAAGACATATTTTCACATTTGGAATGTGGAGAGGGCTAGTAAACATGCTGCAGACTTTGAGTTCACACAATTAGAAAAAAAAAAAAAAAAAAAAAAAAAAAAGAATTGGTTGGGGCATGAACACAGGTTGCCAAATTTCAATTTTTCTAAGTGAGGACATAAAATAACATAACATCTCCTTTCACCATAACTTCATAAAAGAAAAAAATTTAATATCAAAAAAGTTGGGCCCAACATCATCTCAAGATAATTTAAAAATTAAATCAATTTAGATGTATTAAATACTTGTTATGTTGTTTTTGTGTTGTTTTGTTTTGTTCATTTTTGAAGGTCAAATGAAAGCTGTCTCACAGACTGGAAATGGTCTGTGGATCCAGTTTGGACCAACGTGCTAAGGCTCATTTCAAGGAAGGAGCAAGTTTCTGCAGATTAAGAGGCTGAGAGATGGTACAGTGAAGAATCATTTATTAGTTCGGAGTATTTAATAACTGATCCATAGTGGAACACCACTACCAGGTAACTGTGGATCTAAGATCAGTATAATTTTGCTGTTTATTGTTGGTTGTTGGGAAATAGACATTGTTCCGTGGGCCAGATGGAGCAGCAGAGAAGGCAGCTGTGTAAGTGACCTAGTAGACTGTCAGCAGCGAGGCTGGAGGGTGCTCCCAAGGCAGCACTCAGCTGGGTGATCGCCCCCAGGGTCCGGGGTGTGGGAGGCTAACGAAGCCAGAGGGAACTGCTAACGCGATGAAGTGAGAGGGTTGAAGTGGGTGGGAGTCCGTGTAAGGGAAAAACCAGATTCAGGAGTTGTGAGGGTGCAGGAGAACGGACAGGTAAGAAGCCCGAGACATGGCAAAGAGGAGATCTGGGATATAAAAATAAGAAAAAAAAAAAAGCTGGAGGCAATCAAGGGGGCTTGAGGGGTGAAAGGTACAGCACCCACAATTTGCCCCTTTTGCATCTGTTTCTTTAGCTCATCCTGAGAGCCCACAATGGGCAAGAACTAACCTTCTGCACACCTGTCCATTTCTTCCGAGTCTTGTAGCCAAGCTGCCACTTTGCTCTGCCCGGTCGTGCAGGTTGCAGGGAGGCTGCTACCGCATGGTAAAGGGGACTGCCATGGAAAGCTGTTTGGCTGCGCCTACGATGAATAAAAAAACGCATATGGTTAGGCAGAAATAGTACATTTAAGTTACTAAAAAGAACACAAGTATACTCAAAGCGACATTAAAAAAGAGAGAAACAAAAAGGCACGCTCAAAAATATGGAAGAAGCCTCTTGGCTAAATGTGGTATGAGCTCAGTACAGCCAAAATTTCTAAGCAATAACGACACGACACTTGTTAAGCTGCCATCTCCACCAAAAAACAAAGGGGACAACATTCAAGTATGTTATATCTCATACTCGCAAGGACATGCCAACTCAAATTTTCAATAGTTTTGCATTACTCAGTAAGTTACAGCTGATACAGTGTCCTTGTTGCAGTACTCAACTCATGAGGTCTTTCCTTTCCGAAAGCTCTCCGTATACTTATGATCAACTCATGGTCTCATCAGCTACCTGTGATTCTTAAATACATTACCCACCAGCAAGCAACCTTGTCATGCTGTGAATGCGTATTGAAAACTGTAACATACAAAATGGCAGTCTTGGCAAGTTATTATTATCTATAGCTGCTAGACTTTCCATTAAAGGGATTTTATGTGAAATAAAAGTTGTATGAAGTATGTAGATACTAAAGTGAGTAAACACTGTGAAAAAAGCAGAAACTTATTTCCCCCAAAGCTAAAACAACTTTAAAACTCCATATTTGACTTTAATATTCAGTTACAACTGATTGTGTCTCTTCTAAATCATTACGAAGTGAAGGATGCACATACTTAGCAAACCCAGACTTATTTATTACCCTCACAGGGCCACAAACCAATTAACATTCGAAGAGTCTCATAATTTGATGCTTAGAATTCAAGCAAACTGATAAAAAGCTCTTTTCACTCTTTTCTGCATTTTGATAAATGTAACAGAAATCTTTCACTGAGTTAGATCTCAGAGGTATGTCATTTGTAACTAGAGCAATAGATCTATGAAAACCAGAGTTGAAGAGCTTTCTTATTCCAAGGTAAACAGTGGGGAGGATTTGGTTTCAGTTCTCCATTCTCGGATGTCACCCAAGTTATTTAATAAATAACACAAAGGATGAAAATAATATGTCTTTTATCAACACTCTGTGCCAAAGACACAGGCAGGCAGAAGCTGGAAGAACCAAAGGGTTAAACATTTATATTTTTTAAATATCCATCTGGGATACATTTCTTGTTTAATTTGGACTAACTCTTGGATTCATTCTATTCTGTGATGAGAACACAGGAGGCCCAGAGAAACTTGGGGACTACCTTGTACATCTTGTGTTGGGTCATTCACTAAGTGCCCTACTTCCTAATAACCCCAACCTACTGGTTCATTTCCTTTGATTTCAGAAGCAGTTAGTACTAGGGTTAACCCAATACCCTGTTCCTAGGAGAGAGATATTCCATAATGAAATAAGGTTTGAGAGCCTTGTGAAATACAGTTTACGGGATTTAACAAAAATTAGGTAAGTAATTTCCATCAAAATAGCAAAAACTAAATACAGCTGTGTTTCATTTAATCTGATTTGATGAGTCTTACAGTTACTCCATGAGGTTTTTCAATGCTTTGCAGAGGAAACTTGGATATGTTATTCCATATATCCCTATGTAGGAAAACAGAGGAAAGCAGAATCTTCGCTGAAACACATTTGAACTCAACTCCTTGTGGCAGCTAGTTATTCACAGATGTCTCTATTCTCAATATCAGGTGCCAAGTGAGAAACCGGTAGACCCCTGGGCAGTGCAATGTGGCTATGGTTCAGAAAACTTAATTATTGAGGCAAAGGCAGAAATAGCTGTCTCCCTGTCTATTGTCTTAACCTTGGTTTTTAACAGGCAACACCTCTAGCTTTTCAGCAACACAGAAAAAGAACTCTTAATACAGCCGAAAGAACAGCTTCAGCCTCCCTTAATCTGGTACCTGGTATAATGAAAAAGGCACTGATTTTGGAAACAAAGATGAAGATTCTGATCTTGGCTTAGCTGTTTAGTGTCTATTTAACTTCTGGAAAAATTCTTTACTGTCTCTGAGCTTTGGGTATATTTAAGACTAGAGATGAATGAATGTCCAATGCTTAAAACACAGTGCCTAGTCATTCAAATATATTATATTACTCTCACAATCTCTAGCCCACTTGCGTTAACCTCATGGGGAAATTCACTGGTCTCTCTCATGGTCATGTATATATTACAGCTCAAGGCAAAAAAACAAGTTTCACTTTAAAAACTGTGTGGTCGGGGTTCCCTGGTGGCACAGTGGTTGAGAGTCCTCCTGCCGATGCAGGGGACACGGGTTCGCGCCCCGGTCCGGGAGGATCCCACATGCCGCGGAGCGGCTGGGCTCGTGAGCCATGACCGCTGAACCTGCGCATCAGGAGCCTGTGCTCCGCAACGGGAGAGGCCACAACAGTGAGAGGCCCGCGTTCCGCAAAAAAAAAAAAAACAAAAACAAAAAACTTTGTGGTCTTCTTATTACCACCCAGGAAGACATCAATTTCTAGGTGCTGATTAACCAAATATTCACTCTACTTTCTAATATTCCCACTAAGCCACATACAATTTAGATGTACTCCATTCATAGAAAGGAAAACTGTTAATTCTCTTGGTCCACATTTCCACCTAATCTGTACTTGTAATTAACTTTGATGGTAAATATCACTGTTGTCTTCTGAGGGTTAGTTTACAAAGCAAACCTTCTCTTTCTGGTTTGTAAAATGAGACACAGTTAACATGTTTGCATAATTTTCCAAGCAATTTCTGGGCTGACTTTCATATAACAAAGTCATACCTTTCCATCCACAACAGAAACATTAGCAGCTGGTGAGGATTCAGCTGTGGAGGTTGAAGGAAATATGTGAAAACTAGCATCTCGTGGTGATCTCACAATTTCATTCTGCCGATACAATCGATGATGGCGCAGTTTGGAGACCCATGCATCAAACCAGTCCTGGGATTTCACCTAAAACAATAAACAAGAGGAGTAGGTAATGGTGAAACCGGTCTCCTGTTTACCACTGATATAGGCAAGTGATTTCCCCAAATATTGAAAGGCAATTTTTTTTTTTTTTTTTTTTTTTTTTTTTGAAAGGCAATTTTACCTTCAAATGATAGATGTGTTCTTCGGTGTCAAGGTCTATTCTCCGAGCTTTCTTTTTAATTGACATGACAGAGAGTCCGACATCGATGCTTCCGTGGACCTTCCCTTTTTGAATCTGAAATCAAAAGACTGGTAAAAAGGCTGGAAGGACATGTGATTTGATGTGCTTTTGTACTGAAGTGAGCTTAATGTAATCTTTAACTTATCTATAGGAGATGGAATATCACACCACCTCTACAAAGAGGAAATGGCTAAGGTTCTGAAGTTAAGGTCCTGAATCTGAGGACAGTTGAAGTTGCAGTGACTTAATACCAATTTCAATAAGTAAGACTATTCATCTCATTCCTGTTTTTGGCATAACTTCATAATTCCAGATTGCACAGTTTATATCCTAAAAAAGATATCTTTACTGGCTCCTGAAATAACTATGGTCAAACTTTGACCTACAACCCAGAAGATCCCCAAGTAATCAGCTAGAAGACTGCTGCTGGGGCAAAATTGGGCAGCTAGTACAGAGTGCACGGAGCAGCCAGCTCTTCCTTCTAGCTGCCCTCATCTGGTCAAGGACACACAGCTGATTCAATGAAGGAGCTGGAGACAGAACTGAAATCTGAGCCCTCTGTTACTTACCCTATATACAATGATAAGAAGGAGAGCATTGCATGCAAACAATGACTTTTTATATTAAAGAAAAATAATTTCGAATAATTTTAGAGTTGGGATGCCCAAGATAAAAGAATGTATGAAACAGAAATGAAGTTCATAAGATAGGTCTTAAAAAGACTTCAGTAAGAACAAATGTTGCTTTAAACCTCAAAAAAAGCACATATAGCATAGTTTGTTGACAGATGCAGGAAAAAAGCCTACTTGGGTTTTCTCTCTAAGACAGAAAGGGTGATTTTTATTAGTCGGCGACTTTTAGGTTTAAGCTTCTGTTTTTAACAACACACATCACAATAGTTAAATTAAATCTTCAGGCACCAGTTTGAGATTTTATGCTAGCTTGAGCATAAGCGTAAAACACACCTTGCACGCAACATTTGTTAAATCTTACAGGCACAGCAATGCACAGAGCTGGTAACTATGGCACAACACTTGTACACTGTGGTGGTTACTCACTTCAAGCAGAATTCTAAACCAATCTTTGTGTCTACTTACGTCAAGTGGTGCCTTTGAATACTTTAACATTCCATTATCCAGGACAAAAAAACGCTGCAAGAACCAAACAATCCCCAGTTATTGTCAGTATTTTGAATTATATAAAACATTCACAAGTGTGGGTCTAACATTGCTTGGCATTTAGTAATCAGTATGTTTGATCATTTTCATGTATTTGAATTCAGTGCACCTGGCCACGGTCAGTCACATGAAATGGTAAGGAAATCTTAGCTCGAGTTCCATACTATTTACCTAGTCGGGTTCTTCCGGGTTCTTTTATACATAATCCAATGGGGATGAAATCTTTCACCACAGTTTTTCTTTTCTTTTCTGTTTTTCTTTCTTTCTTTTCTTTCTTTCTTTTCTTTCTTGGCTGTACCGCACAGCTTGTGGAATCTGTTTCCTGACCAGGGATTGAACCCAGGCCACGGCAGTGAAAGCCCTGAATCCTAACCACTAGACCACCAGGGAACTCCCCGATCACCACGGTTTTTCTTAATGGGGGTGTCAGGGGTTGTGGGGGGGAGGGAGCAATCCCAGGGCCTGCAGCTAAGACTTTCTAAATGAATCACGGTGGGGTGTTTTTGAAAGTGAGAAATGAAAATAACCTGAGTTAGGTCACATTGATTCTGTGAGGAATTTGTCTACAGGGGATTTTCCACCTTGGAGATAAACTCCTGAATCTCCCTGGCTACCATAGATAATTCTGAAAACGCCCATGTCTGTTAACAGAAGCCAGTGGACTGGAGCTATGAATAATGAATTATCTGCAAAGTTTAAAAAGTAGCCTTATCAATATGCTTGCATCTCCACTTAGCAAAATACTTGCAGTTCAGTCTTAGTAAAAGAGATTAAAAATTATTTCTGAACTATGTTAGGGGCAAATATATATATTTGGGGCAGTTTTTGTCTCTTTCAAGACACTCATGGTCCAGTCCAAATGAATCTAGCCATTTTTGCTCCACAAACCTCAGGAACTCTCTGCTGTTGACTTCCTTTCCATGGACAATTGACTGCAGAACAAACAGCATTCAAGGACCCAATCAAACAATGGGTCCAGTGCCCTCCTCTAGTCTCTACAGATGCAGGGAGTTTTTCTGTGGCTGGTAAATTACTCTGCTGGGAAGTTTTTATGTGATTCAGGAACTCTTAGCTGCTGAGGTGACAGGCAGTCAGGCCTGGAGACACCCTACACAGAACTCACAGGTCACTGTAACCCCTTTGTTATAGGTTCTGTTGGTGGGGGGAAGAAGTAAGCACTGGAAGAAGGAACCTCTATAGCTGAAAAACACTTGATTGCCTATGACTTGGGCAATCAAATGGGCTGATGCTTGAATAAATATCTGATGGTATTAGAGACCAAGAGAAAAGGCAATGCAAGGGAGAACCTCCTATTGTTTATGTAGCAAAATGTCTAAGGGAAGGTCCAGAAAGAGTTGCTGTTGAAGCACAGCCAGTTTTGCTGAAACATGGACTGAGAGTGCTTAATTAAAGTTAGCCATTTATATAAAACGTGTTTCTTTGACCCCTTTCTTCTGTTTGTCCATTCCTATCTATCAAAGAATTCTAGCAGGGATAACCTATAGGATGTCACAGGGAAA